GGTTAAAGAAAGAAAAAATATATAGGTCAAAAATACCCCTACAAGTTTAAAGTTTAATGCTAAATTTTAACCATTGGATCGTTAGATTATAAAATTGATCAATGAACATAAATTGGTCTTACGGGTCTCACGAAAAACCATTGGTCTTACGTGAACCCAACCCTATATATATATATATATATATATATATATATATATTTGTGCATAAAAATATTGTTTTTATTTTTTATAGAAAAAAGACAAAAAAAGAGAGGCTAAAATGACTCTTGATTTAATGGAGTTAACAGAATGTTAGTCAGAGGGACCATCACGCAAACAACCACAAAGACCAAACCCACAATAAACTACTATAGGATCATAGTAAAAAAAAATCAAAACATAGGGACTAAATCCATTGTTCAGGCTTGTGTTAAATTAGGGATGCATTATAAATGGATCTTTGTATATTGATAAATGCACCTTTAATTTTCTCATCGTCAACATTCACACATACTTTTCACATTCATAATGCATGAGTTAACCTCTTTCTAACCTGAAATTGATGCATATAGTATTACCCATTAAAGTTTTATAAAATCACAATTGATTTAATTGGTTCATTACTTGTATTTGCAATGAATGGTCATGGGTTCTTCTTAACTATGCGTGTTTAAAGCGTCTTCAACAACTTATTAAAATGGAGATTTTGTAAATTTGATAATTTTGTTACAGCTATGCTAAAACATATGTTAAAATAGAAAAAAAGAAGACAGAGAAGATGAAGTCTGCAAATTTAGATAAATATATAAAATTCTATATAAAAGAGAAATAATATTTTGTTTTTTTTTCCACCAATAAGGGTCATTGAAATAAATGTTTAGGAGCGAGAAATAATATTTTGTTTAATGTATTGAATATTTTCATAATATAGTTAATATTAAAATTGTTAAAATATAGTAGCTATTGAAGTTGGATGTATATTTTTTTGGAGATTTTGACTTCTAATACTTCATTTAAAAAAAGTATAACATAGTTGTTGGAGGTACTTTTAGGTTACTTTGCGTAGAGCTTAATTAATCCCGTTTGGCCCTGAAGATAACAACCGGTAAAGAAAAATTCTAGTGTCTTTAAGGAAACTCAAGTTAGCGACCTACATGGATGAGCAGTAAGGCCTAATTTCTATTTATGAGTTGAGCTAGGAAAATCCCCAACAATAACAAGTTTGACCCCCCTCACAACATGATTTTTCTTAAAGGTTGAATTCATGAATTTTACTTTTGAGCCAGAGCCTGTCCATTTATTCAAAAATGGCTTATAACTACTTTTCTAAGAAGTGTGACGGACTATACTTTTCGAGCCAGAGCCTGTCCATTTATTATATACACTCTAGTTCTTAAATTTCCAAACATATTAACAGTACATATATCATGCATTTTGCAAAGGGCCTAAAGAGAAGCAATTATTTTGTCCATCTTGCTAGTAAAGTATGTGATACATGACAATATATAACAACCACTTTGTCACCCTCTTACAACTTGATTAGAATCGGTGTCTAACATATACCATCCACACACATTAAACTCAATGTTATCAAATTAAAAAACAAGTAATGTTTTGTATACAAGATCCTCATCTTATATCAATATATGTATTTTATATCTATCTATCTATCTATAATAATAAGAAGAATAATTATATATATATATTCTAAAACAATTATTATGTTTAAGTGAAAACACATAATATTAAACACATAATAATTTAAGCAATGTCTTTAAGATAGTTTTATGACTTAATCACTGTACCTACAATAAGTGTATGATTATGATCCTTTGGTAGTATACATTAATATAAAGGGGTTGGGTTCTGGTATTTAAGGTGATAAACATAAGAAGGGATATCCATCCTAAGATGCAACAGATCGATCTCGTATTCATGGATGGATTTGAGAGTAAAGGTGATTAAGAGTCTGGATTTCTTCTTACACTTCTCACATTAACTCTCATTAATAGACGATCTTTTACCAATATAAAAATGATGTCAAGAATTACTTTTTACATTTATAATACAACCTAATTTATAACATAAAAATAGCACATATAACACTTCCTCGTTAACATTGAAAAGTCAAAGTTAGGTGATTTTTTTTTTAACTTTTCAAAGGAAAAGAAGTCAATTTAAGACCACCACCTTTTCTATTTACAAATTTTGAGTGCCTACCCTTACTCTACCAACCTAAAATTTTGCATTAACATGCAACTTGTTTCAAACTAAAACTACAAACTTTTAAGAAGAAAAAAGTGCTTGAGAGAGTAGCTGTAGCTTCTAGATTGATCATAAAATCTTTAAATGTTCTAGTTTTTTCAAACAATCATGTATACGTAAGGATCAATATTTATCTCGCATGATATCATATCATAACATTTTAAGTATTTAATTATTAAATAAACAAATAATATATTGTTTAGATTTATCTGAAAAAACAAAAATCATATAGGTGATATACAAAACGTCGATGGTGTAATTAAAATGCTATTTTTTAAAGTTGTAGTTATAGTTGTAATATATAATGTTGTAGTTGTTACTTAAATATGTATAAATATATATATATATATATATATATATATATATATATATATCCCATTCTATAATGGTATCCATACCACCATACTAGGAAAACAAAAAGAATATCCAAACATTTAACCTATCTGAATCTTGAGATTGAGCAATCTCCGCCTCAAGTTACTGAACGGAGATTTATCATAACGATGACGTATACATCCATTACTAGAAAACAAAATATCAGCGACGGAAAAATTCTCTCGCAGATCAGTGAGGGATTAACCAAGAACCAGTACTCCCGCAGATAAGGAATTGATCATGATTGACAAGAAAAACTATTGCGCACCTAGGTTCATCACACTCAAATAATTTAGAGAGATAATTGAAATGATGTGAATGGATATTTGGATCAAATTCGTTATACCAGATAGATACTGAATGATGACGTTAACATTAATTTAGGAAAGTTTAAAGTTCATTTTTAATATGTTTATATCTTGATGAAGGAAAGTTTAGAAGATTTTTGCGAATAAAGAGGTAATTAATATCATGGAGCATACATATTTTGATTGTTTTATAAAAAAATTATAGTTTATCTTAATTAAATTGTAAGCAATACAAAAAATAAATGTGAATAAGTAATAGTATTAGATTGAAATAAATAAATTTTAAATAATTAAAATTTGGGGTTATTGATGGAAACCACTTTATACAATTGGGATTATTTAAACTATAAATTTGTTAGTTTGATGATAAGAATGAGTAGTCATTATGTGGTGACAGCAGGCATTTACTTGCCATTTGCCAATATTATATACAAACAATTATTATTTCAATATTAAACCAATCTCACATAATTTATAAATTTACTATTTTTACTTGATTTATATATATATATATATATATATATATATATATATAGAGAGAGAGAGAGAGATCCATTCAAAAGAAAACTGATTAGTTTGTGGTAACTGTGAGACCCAATCTCAACCACACATCAATGGATAAATTAAGAAATTAATAATTATAGTCGTTTGAGTTAAAATTATAATTAGAGGGTATTTTAAAAAAACTCCTCTCTCCTTTCTTCTAGCTCCTCTCTCATCTCTCCAACCTCCAATCTCCGGCCTCCGGTGAACATTAGTCCGACAGGTACCAAGTAATCACAAAGATACACAATGTAATACCCATTGTAATATATTGTGATACCAACTCAAATCTTAAAAACAAAAATACAATTATTTTATTTTGTAGTTAAACTTTTTATTATTGAAAAAAACTTACAGCCCCTACATAGATATTAGACCGCAGTCTTGGGGTTAATAGACCCACAAATCCACCCCTTATTTATATTTTCATTAGTTTGACCAAGTGCCAGACTTATTTAATATATTGTATATGACTTTTTGATATAAAAAGTTGCATATTCAGTAAGCTTTTAAAAAAATATTTATGTAAAAAAAATCAAGTTTTTTTTTCAAACATGTATCTCTCGATTAAAAAACATGGTCCATTCATCTATGAAGGAGGACCATCCGAAACAAACACCTTCCAAATTTATATGCACATATTAATTTACACAAACAACTTTATACATAAAAAAAACCCAACTAAACAGCCCCTAAAATGTATTAATAGTAGTTGGATGAAAATGTGTAAAATAAAATGTCTGTTTAATGATTCTGACCAAAATTTGGGCTTCATTAATGTACTTGTTGAGTTGGGCTTTAACGACGGCCCAATTATTGTGTTTGTTTTGATTCTGTAGAATAGTCATATAAAACCTCTTTGAATGGTTACTTATCTTAATGGATTGATATAACTAATATATTGTATATTGACAATAGAAAATTTGTATTTGTGTGGTTTAGCCAAAATGAATAACATCTTCAATGATGGATCTATTGGCAAGTACCATTACATTTTATTTATAGTTTAACCTAGAGAACTTAATAATAGTTTGTAACATATAATACAATGCAAGATCTAATAAAACAAATCCAATCCAAAATGAACCAAATTCTGCTATTGATAGATCTAAAATTGTTGTAAGAAAAAGAAAGACCGAGCAAACAACTTACCATAAACTCGTGTGGCAGCTTCTCCAAATAGCGTAGAGGGAGCAATTTTGAATAAATAACATTAGTATTTTCGATGTCATGAAATTTACCCACTACAAGTGGATGGATCATCTTGCACCCGATAACACAAATATGCCTTTAGAAGCATGAATACAGATAATTTAACCATATTCTCATGTTATAACTCCATAAAATCAAAATGGTCCACAAAATTATAACCATTTAAATCGACATAAAGAATAGTAGCAGTCATGTTTAGCATTTAATATCACACGCCACTTATTAATTATTAATTATTAATTATCACGTTATATCTAGTATACAACCACCACAAACCCAAAAACTACTTCGCCTTTTTTACAACCACCCCTCCCNTCATCAAACCGGTTCTTGCATCGTCACAACCACCGGACTTGCCACATTATGCTTCCCGTCCCACCACTCTATCCACCCACTTTTTGTCACCCCACTCCCCGCCGCTAGCTTCACCTCCTCCACTTTCACCCTCACCAAAAAGTTGAGCTTTTGCCCCACCCTCCTGAACACAAGCTTCCTCGGTTCCACCCTCACCTCCATCCCTCTCGCTGCCTTTATCCTCACTTCGTAAACCGACTTCGCCTCCCCCACATTCGTCACCGATCGGATAAAGTGTGTCGACATTTTCCCTTTACCGTATTGCTGGAAAACCGCCGTCATTGACGGAATATTCAAGTTCCCTGAATGTCCTGCCCGTTTCGCCCCACTGCAATCCGCATGCTTTCTTGTGATCACTTGGATGTTTTTGGTTGTGTAATTCGAATTACACAGGAAATCTACATAATCGTATGAAGATATGTCGTAGATTAATCCCGGATCCATGGCTTTTTGTGGGTGAACATGTCCAGCTCCGTAATCCATCACCGTCGACGAGTTTCCCGTTGATTCGTCGATCATCGTTTCCCCTCGATTGTCTAATGTATACGCCGTTGTAATCAATGCAGATTTTATGGCGGCCGGACTCCATTCCGGATGGGCCGCCTTCAACAGGGCCGCCAGGCCAGAAACATGAGGGCACGCCATGGATGTTCCTGATAATATGTTGAATTCCGTTTTTCGCTTATCGGAAGCAAGCCCCGACGGACCTACTTTATCCGGCCAAGCTGCAAGAATGTTGAGTCCCGGAGCAATGACGTCCGGTTTCAAAATCTCCGGCGATTCTGGGTTCGGTCCACGGGCGGAGAATGAGGCCACGACGGGTGCAGGTCGGACGTTTATTCTGGTTCCTTTGAAAATGATTGTGGCTTCCGGCGGAGATGTGGATTTTGAAGCTGACATGATGTACCTTCTAATCTCGTCGCCGGATGATGCACCCACGGATGTTGCAGGTAAAACGTGGCAATCGGCGACCAAACCCTCGCCGTCGAAGACGCCGTTTGCTAATATCATTCCGATGCCGCCGGCTTTCTTTACGACTTCACCTTTAGCAGCTCTTGAATTGATGCCTCTGTCGCATAAAACGATTTTCCCCTTTACGGATTTAGGGTTTAATGAACCTTCTAGACACAAAGATGCAGAGTAACCGTCGCCGCCTTCGTTTCCGGCGTAAATGAGTGGATAGAGACGGTGGTGAGCCAATGCGGGTCCACCGTAGACGCTGACACCGGGAATTAATTTCCCGTTTCCAAGCTTTACGTCGGCGGGGAAGTCACGATCAATTGCTCCCGCTCCGACAGTGGTTACCCACGGTGCTATGTTGGTGACTGTGAGCCCTCCAGGACCACCGTTTCCGGCGGAAGCAGAGACGAAAACACCGTGATCGGAGGCGCCATAAGCACCGATTGCGATTGCATCGAGGTAGTAGGGAACAACAACGCCTCCAACACTTAGCGATATAACGTCTACGCCGTCGGACACGGCGGAGTCGAAGGCGGCGAGGATATCGGAATCGAAGCAACCAGCGTTCCAGCAAACCTTGTAGGCGGCGAGACGAGCTTTTGGCGCCATTCCAGCAGCGACACCACGGGCGTAGCCAAGAGTTGATGCCGGGAAAACGTATCTGCCAGCGGCGATGGAAGCTGTGTGAGTTCCATGACCATCTGAATCTCGCGGCGACCGATGCTCCAACGTTTCGTTCATCTTACCATTTGTTGCTTCGTATCCAGCAGAAAAGTACTTGGCTCCGATTAACTTGCGGTTACAAGAAGTGGCCGGGAAATTAGTGGAGACAACACAAGCGCCTTGCCACTTACCCGGCACCGGACCTAACCCCTTGTCATTGAAACTCTGTCTCTCAGGCCAAATCCCAGTATCCAAGACTCCAATCACCAGATCGGAGCCGAAATCTGACTCCTTCAACAAGCCAGACGTATCGGATGTTTTGAGGCCGAGGAATTGAGGCGAACGGGTGGTGTGCAGGTGACGAACTTGTTCGGGAATGACAGAGAGGACACCGTAAGACGATTGGAGTTTTGAAGCCTCAAGAGCAGAGAGCTGGGCGGAGAAGCCATGGAAGACGGTGTGGTAGGTGTGGATGATGCGAGAAGAAAGGGGATGGGAGTGGTCGGAAAGAGCAGTGAGGGAAGATTGATACCAGTGGCGATGAGTGGGAAAAAGGGAGGGCTTGGCGTCGTGTTGGACTCGTACAATGAATGTGGTGTGGGGGGTGGCAGAGACGGAGACGGAGACGGAGAGGAAAAGGAAAAAAGAGAAGGAAAGGAAGGTGGCCATGGAGTGATATTCCGGGCGGTGGAGGGTGGAAGGGGGAGTAGGATATTTGAAAATGGTGGTATAGAAGTAGGAGCAGAAAGGTGAGTGGGTTTGTGTCAGCTGTCTACTGCAACTCGTGTTGCTTTTAACATTTCATTTATGGCTCGGATAAATATACCATCACTATGTAATAGTATTATTAATTTACAAAACTTATATAAGATTTGATAATGATTGAAACGTTAAAAAAAAAAAAAAAAGTGTAAATGACATATTATGGTTTGTGCATAACTTGATTTAGAGATGATTCAATCAGGTATATGTTTGGCCATCCTTTTTCAATATCACAAAGTTAGTTTGGATTATTATTGTATGTGTGTTGATGTTTACAAATTTAGCAACAAGCTATCGCCAATATGTTTTGATATATGAATTTGAATTTGATATCTATTTTGTTATGATACCTTGCATATTTTGGTACTACATTTGATTCTACTTCAGATGAATATTTTAATAAAGGAACAAGAATATTTATAATTTTGGCTAATAATACTTGGAGATCATTATGCCCATGTTTTGAAACTAGTTGAAGTGTCCATAAGCATGACTAATGTGTTGGGTTGGGAGAAGAAAAAGGAGTCAAGTGTGGATGGAAAAATACGAATAAAATTGTATGAAGCCAAAGGAGGGAGTCACGTGTGCTACTAACTCACGTTTTTTTCTTTTTATAATTATTTTTACCCACAAATATCTCATATTTTGCAAGTATAAATAAATATAATTATATCATCAATCATTGTTTAAAAATATTAAAGCCTACGTCAGCTTTATCTTTAATTAGCAATTATTTACATAAGAATTAATTAGTATGTTTTTAAGGTCTTTCATTTTCAACTTATTTATATAAAAAGAACAATCTTATGTTCGCCTTTATGTGAAAGTTATTAATTGAAATGATAATGTTTGAAAAAGTCACATTTGCAATTCAAAATAAATGCCTTTACAACTAAACTCTTCATCATTCATTGTCCCTCCCAAGTTTTCTTTTCACTTTGAATGAATGGTTTACCCATATATATATATATATATATATATATATATATAGAGAGAGAGAGAGAGAGAGAGAGAGAATAGGGAAGACTTGGAGGAAAACTAAAAAAAAAAATTGAAAGACCATCTCCGATAATTGTTTGAAAAAAGTTTAATATTGAAACTTTAAATACATAAAATATATATTAAAATTAAAATGGTAAAAGAGGATAGATATTATTAGGTAGATAGAAGTAAAAGAATGATGGGTAATTGAAAAGGTTTTTGGAAGGAAGGTTAAGGCCAAGAAAGTGAGGGTCCACTCCAGATTACGTACAACACGTTTGTAGGTGGGAAATCAGGTCTTGTAATCTAAAAAGTAAAACAAAGCCGTGTCTGTGTAATGTCATTATTGAGGGAGGGCTCTGCTTCAAAATAAACTTACCATCTTTTTATTTTTCTCTTCAGTCCCTACCCTACCCATCCTAAAATAAAAACAGATTTTTAATCTATACTCCCATGTTCATGATTGATTATGACCCAACTCAACTCCTATTGCTTCATCATAAGTTTGTATTATTACACATTCATTGCTTCTTTAAACACTTGATCATAACTCATCTCAACATTGTATTCCAATTTTACTTGCCTTTTCTCCAAAATAAATATGCATGTCAAGTGTATACCTAAAACTTTACTCACCTCATACCAATTCTCGATTCTTGTCATACTCACACCATAACCATTTACCTTTGGTAAACAGCTCCCTATTTTGCCAAATATTATGGCTTTTTGCATGTGAATTGCTAACATGTTTTTGTAGTAGCAAGTCAAAAGGAGGCCAGGTGGCAGGGATGTATAACCATTGAAAACAAGACACTACAAAATGGCAAGTATGCCCAAAAATATACATATATTACACAAATACCCCCCCTTTTTCCCATCCTCCTCACTCACCCATTTGGAATGAGGGGTAAACACTAAAGAAGAAGAAGATGATGAAGAAAACTAACAACATAGGCTAAAAAGAAAACAAAAAGAAGCCAAATGTGGTAGTAAGTAAGTAAGTAAGAATGCATTTCAAGAATACCCATTTGTTGTTGTGGTTTTTGGCAGTTTTTTCTTGAAGTTAGAGATACTGCATTGAGGACATATGTACTCTAATCCATCTGTCTTTGCATAATCCTGCAACAATTACTATTTTATCATCTTTCTTTCTTTCTTTCTAATCATCTTATACGGAATGGAGTTTGCATGCTTGCTTACCTTAAAGGCACCAAGACCTTGTCTTCTGTCACAACCAAAATGCGCCCATTCCCCACATATCCCACAGTTTACCCAATCCCCTGCTGCGCTACTGTTTGTTTCACATAAAGCACACGCTCAGAAACCGCCCAACCAACCATATGTACACTAGCAAAGGGAAGGAAATATAGTTTGGTTACCTGTGACACAATAAGCAGCACTCCCCGTCTACGTCATCATGGGCCAATTCGTATTCCAAAAGATAGGTTTCATAGTGTCTCTTTAGTGTATTTCCAACACCCTATCAATTAACATATTCATAAAATCAAAATCAATCATTTCTTTCATCAGATCCAACAGTCATGGAGCGAGGGGCTTACTGTCATTCTATTGGTAACTGTGTGGTTACGCATCTTTGAGAAAACTTGCCCTTTCCAATTGATTCCGTTGCCAACATGAAACCCGCCTCTTGAAACCACCTAAAACAGGACAACAAAAGGGTAAACTACCTTTTTCTATGTTGGAGAAAGATACTTTGATAGATTTAATTTCAGTACTCACCTCCCTGTACAAGTTATAAAGGTCCAAACGCTTTGCATTCAGTATTGCATCAGGAAACTCAGCAAGCCCACCTTGAGGAATCAGACGATTATGCCCTCGAAGGATCAAAAATTGCATCACGTCCTTCAGAAACTCCTCCTGAAACATTACAACAAATTATCTACCCTTTCAATTCAAACTGGGAATTCCAGAATGCGAGGGAGGTTCATGGGAAAACCCCCAAAAAAATGAAAAGCTAAGGAACACCCTCGTAACCATTCATCTTGACGGTACGCACATGTGCATACAAGTGATTGAAGCTGTTTCTTGGCTTTTATGCATGTGTGCATGTTATGCACATGTGCATACCATACAAATTGCTTACAAATAACCTGTATACACATGTGCATACAGTCCAGATGAACGGTTACCAAGATGTTCCTCAGTTTTTCATTTTTGCCCTAATCTGACCCTCAAGGAATGCATTCTAAAACACTACCCGATTTTAGTAATTGGTTCATTACAATGTTGTACAAACTTTACCATGCAGCACGTAACTTCATATAAACTCGAGGTATCATATGGTCAATGTGACTAACCTCAGAACAAACATGTATTGGACTTCTATCGCAACCATGTTTCTTCAAAGGAAGCGGGTTTAACGAGATTAGCTGTTTTGCTTGATACGAGCTTGCTAACGATTTGCGATGAGTCACGGGAGCCGACCCACCACCATTGTGCTTGCCTGAAGGCATAGATAAAATGTGTGTCTTCACTTGTCCTCCAAACTCATGTCCATTTGCCTCTGAAATCCCAGCAAAAGGTAGCATTTTCTGGTGACGGATGTGTGGAATTGGCCTCAATGCAGCAACTTTTGGTTTCTGCCTAACTACTACATACCCATTGGCCGATTCCATTACCTTGTGTTCTTGGGCCTCTTGTTTTACACCAGAACGATGTCCAGAAACCAAACCATTATTACGAACACCAGGACCCATTTCTTGGTTCGTGATGGACCTTTTTCTACTTGGAAAAGGTTGTCTCATCCACGTGGGAACGGGAGAATCGATGATGTTTGAATGGATATTGTTTTCTAGTCGTTTACAGAAGAAAAGCAATCGGTCTGCGTCATCTTTCTCGAATGAAGCCACGGCCAGCCCCTGAACACTGGCAACACCAAGCACAACTAAGCTACGGTAAGTAACATCTGGTGCTAGCTGCCTCAAAACCTGACAGAAAAGGGAAAAACCCGTTATATATAGTGTAAAACAAGAAGGTAACCACTTTCATGAAGGAATTTAAGAGAAAATGAAACAGATGAATACAGCATAAGTTAAAAGAGAAAAGACAATGAACCTGTGAAGCCCACAAAGGGACCTTCATGGAAACTTCACACACAGTTGCCCCACAAGCTATAGAAACAGATCCTCGAGGCTCAGATGAAGACAGCTTGTTTTCATCAGGAGTTGATACTGCTTGAACTAATTGAGTTTTTTCAATGACTTCACTTTTAATATGATTCTCCAAAAGCTGAAAACAAGCAAGGCCAAAACACCTTAAGTTACAGAAACCACAAAAGATATTTCAAGAAATCACAAGAATAAACAACAGAGATATTAATATGATCGTTAGCAGGAGCACCTGATCATCAAAGCACGTTTGTGCACTGCCAGAGACCAGAAGTGAGATGTACGCAGAGCTACAAGTTGAGATATCACATCGCATGGTCACAACACCTCGAGAAAATGTCCCCGCCTGGAGAGGTGGAGGGAGCGCACTGCATGACATAATCATGCATTTTAGAGAAATCAAATCCCCAAAAACATCCACCAAAAGCACAATACACACACAAGCAACAATTTGATGATGAAGCTCACTAAAGAAAAAGGTAAAAAGCTTGTTCGTTAGCAGCTTAATGAGCTTAATGGGACTCACAGCTTATTCGGTCAGCTATACACGACTGTTCAGTAGTGGCTTAATGATGTATTAAGTGACTTATTCACTAAGCTTCTAGGGGGGAGCTTTATGCAGAAAGCCAACTGTTTTCCAAACTTGCCCTCCCAATTATAAAACATGCTAATTCCATCTATGAAAAAACCCGCCCAAAAGAAAAACTTCCCAATCTATATAGACAGATTAATCCACACAGACAACTTTATTCGTGCATGACTTAATGGAAAACTAACCAAACTTCCCCTAAGTGACATATCAGAAAACATCTTTCTAACATCCCCACATAATCGGCGAATTTAGCAAACCCTAATAAAGCAATGGCCAAAACTCGAACATTTGTAGCTTAGAGCAAAATTAATTATGCATGCATAAATATCATGAGTCCAGAAAAGAGAACAAACTTAGCTGATACACACCTAACTCGATTGTGAAGTTTACTCCCACGCATCTGAATATAAAAAATAAAAACATATGTAAATAGCATTAGTCTCAATTTAATTAAAGTAACATAGCTTAGGATTAAGAATAACAAACAACGATTGTAGGGACTTTATTTTGTGTTCTAATCCGTAACAACAAGTTCTTACATTGAATGACAAGATTGTTTTTGAACAAAAACATTCTTAAACGGCTATTTTGTAACTTGTTTTGTACAACACAAGGCTAAGTGAAATAAGCTATTTCAGCATACTTACTTCAATACTCAAAAGAGCATTAAGCCCATCTTCCAATGGTTCCAATAAAGAAGCATCCTGAAGAGACATAGTGCATGAGAAAACTAGGCCACATAAAGAATACATGGAAATATCAAAGAATACTAATTTTGACTAGAAAAATAAGCACAAAGTTGAACCTGAACCTACCAACATGCATGCAGATCCACAAACAAGAAACCTCACGTTTACATCATCGTCATAGATCTTAATTGCAGGAAGATCATCGGGATATTTTTCTTCGTCATCTTCGCCACCTGCCTCAGGCGGGGGAACATTGATCTTGGGTGGATCTCCAAGAAGACATGGACCCAACTTGCTATTATCTTGCTCAGGATTACCATGGAGCACATGGTTGTTCCGTACACAGTATAGCCTGTAGGATGAATGTGCAAGCTGGAAAGCATCCCAAGTATGGCTAGAGGAACTGCAATTCAAGAAAGCAAGAACAACAGGAAAAGCATTTAGCAACATGCTGAAGCAGACAAGAACAGCGGAGTTCAACGACATTCTTTTAAGCGGCTCGCCACCATTTAAGTCAGAGCAACAATTTTGTTATGGGCCAACTAATACTTATTCATACAAAATCAAACCACGTCTTCATGTTACAAAAATTGAAGTGTCTTGTCATGATAGAAAGATGGAATAATAACATTAAGTTTTATAATCTACCTCTGCACCACAGAAAATAGTGCATGTCGAAAGTGGCAAGCTGTATAACACGAAAATGCGTTCTTCCAATATATCACATAAGGAACCCCCTGTACAGATGAATGTATACATCAACAACTTTCAGGCTACCATTTGACAAAGAAAGAAATGAAAGAGTTTGTCAAGGGATTTTATTCGTTTATACACTCTCCCTTACCTTCGAATGCAGTTCCTCTGCGACTTTTTCACCATCTGGAAATTCCAAATATATCTACATAACCATAGACAGAGAATGTTACCAGAAAGACGAGAAAAGACAAAACACATATATCTAGTGTTGCTCTTAGCAGGCATCATTTACTCCCAACTTCTCTAGGGTGAGTAAAATATGAATTGTAATTTCATCCTTTTTAGAAAACATGAACACATTGATTGTTAAGATTCACAACTGAATGTCACATAAAATACATTTTTGGGCAATGAAAAACCATTAATTTTAGAACAAAAGAGTCAAAGTAACAGCAAAGTAGATAGGTACATCCACTGACCACCAAATTTAGTTGGTTAAATTAACTACAAAGAAGAAAGGTAGAACATTTGTATATAAAGCACTTGGTATATGCACTGCGGCCTAGCCCACAAGCTTTTGACAGTCTAAAAATAGTCTTGCCGATAATCCCTATAAGTAGAATAGCAATTTTACAAGCTTTTCTCTAAGCTTACACGTAATCCTTGTAGCATAGAGGACATGAAGTCAGAAGCCTTAGCGAGCTTAGGGACTGGGGGTCACGACTTGCAACTTTTTATATAAGCAATTGGTGGTTATCCTTTTCAAACAGTTTGGCTTTAACAAGTGAGCAAGGCTTTCATGAAAGCAATTCAAGAGACCTTCCAGAATTAACAGGAATACCATAGGTCATGAACTCACTTTATCAATGTAACCAAAAGTTATTATGATCATCAAACGAACCTCTAACACACTTATTATTTATTATTTCAAGAAGTTCAATCACACGATGAATGTTAGATGCACATTTGACTACAGCTTAAATAGCTGCAAACTCCTTCAAATTACTTCCCCACACTTTGCCTTGTAATCTTTTTTCTTCTATTACATTTTTTTGTACCGGTGATTAATGACACTTCAAAGACTCTAGTATAATCGTGTAATGAAGTGGAGATAGGTCCTACCAATAGCTAACTCATTCTCGCTATGAGACGACCACTATGCTTCTTTTTCCTATGTTTTCTTTAAGGGGTTATATACCCCATAAATCCCATCATCTAATTGTTGATCCTAGCTCCTTCTCTGACAACACTCCAGTCCAGAATAAAGAACAGATCAATCAAAGCAGCAACAGAAATCAAATCCGCCTGAAATCCAACCTTATAGACAAGAATCTAAACTAGCACAATGAGAAAAGAAGAGCGACCAATCCCTTCATCTCATTGCAATTATAAGAAAGACAAAGCTTTCAACTGGAACTTATGTATAGAAGACTAATAGAGCACCCCAGGAGCAATGTACCAACACTATGAATAGCAATGGGCGGCATATGAATGATAAGTAAAGAAAGCTTGGAATATCTTTTCCATATTAGACCTTTCTTGATCTGTCATGCAATGTACTAATGAATATAATGGATAACTAATGCACATATATCAATATAACATAATAACATATATATGTCAACATCCTTGTCTTTTCTACTCAAAGTGGAGAAAGAAAAAGCACAAAATTACAGGAAATACAGGAGCTAGAAAGATGACCTTAACTACAAAATACCATATATGCACATTCTGTAATAAATGGGTTCATGATTTCAAGTCACATACAGTTGTGGGCAAAGAGGAACCAAAGACCCCCGTTAAGTCTTCTGCACCTTCCCACGCAAGAGATCCAACATCATCATTTGGAAGCCTTTCTCCTTGCAAATATACAATATTTGGCTGTACAGAATCCAGAACCTTACGGAATTCATCAATGGTAGGACTGTTTAAAGTTTGAACCTACATTAGGGAAGTTAAAGTAGAAGAAATTAGCTTTAAAGCAGGGAAGGACAAAGAGGACGTATGAATTAGAGCACAATATGTACCTCTAGACGTCCAGAAGAAGTGATCTCTGGAAACGGGAATCTCAGGCCAGTGCCTTGAACATCATAATCATCCTTATTATTGGAATTTCTTCCACATAAAACTGCAAGCATGCAACAGGTGTGTTTTGTAGTTCCTTGAGCATGAAACATCTTGTATACATGAACCCTCCAAGAATGATGGTGGGTAATAAAGTTTCTACAGAAGAACAAAATCCAATTCGTCACTATGTGTAAAAAAAATTACCACGAAATCAAGGGAGAAGCGATGAGAAATTTAAAAAACTGACCGACCCAGATGAGAGATTTGAAGAAATCGAAAACCCAGATGGAGATTTGAAGAAAGATCGTCGAATCGTAGCCCTAAAGATGTTCTTGAACTCCAAATCGCGAAAGGGGCTCCCAAATAGATGAGTAAAGTAAAGAATGGAAACCCTAGTCCTTAAAAAATCAACCCTCACCCACCCAAATTAAAATTTGGAATTAATAGAAAAAGAGAAAAAAAATCGTGTCTAGTAAAGAATCTCTACATCTTTCTATGAGACTATAAAAACCCTCTCTATCCATTCCATTCCTTCCCTTCCATACACCGTTTTAATCAAAACAACAAACATCAAAGAAAAAAATTAAATAAAATAATTCTTACTTTGTCTAAATAGGAGCCGCTGTCAGGCTTTGGTGCAGTGACAATTACATTACATTTATCCAATCATCACACCAGGTCAAACTTCAAAACCCAAAAACATAAAAACAAAAATACTAAAACAGATTGAGAGGATTTAAACAACAGTTTCGGATTCAAAAATACCGATCTAAGAATCAAAACTAATGAGAAGATGGACATGTAGATTACAGATTAATTTCAATCGTTTATATGGTTGATGATGATCATGAACACCCAGAAAGCAGGTTTAATGGAAAACGGCAGCATCATTGCATTGGATCATTCGAATAGTTCTGGGTCATGTTGGTTGCTGGAAGAGAATAAGTCTGGTCTTGGCCATGGCAACTGCAGTTACTTTACTAAACCCATCGTCTTCTTTTGTTTTAGCTGGTGGGAAGATGCTTTTTGGTTTGTGGAAGCATAATTTTCCACCATTTTTTGCAACTCGTAAAACCGGTTTCGCTTCTTCCTTGCCAAACCGCAGGGATGGCTTATTTCTGTTTTATATACCAGAGCTTCATTCCATTACTCATTTATGGATTATTTTTATATTTTAGAAAGAAAAAAAAAACCTATTCCACGATAAATCGGAGGTATATGTTACTTATTTTTTTTATTTTGTTTTAAAATTTAAAACAAATATTTATTATTATTATTATTATTATTATTAAGAGTAACATTGTTTTTTTATTAACAAATTGTAATAATTACACGTATTTAGAATTGTATGTCTTTTTCACTTGGGATATTTATTTTGAGACATCAACAGGCCCGGCCTTGGGCACGTGTAGCCCGTACTACTGTACAAGGCATCAAAGCCTAAAGAGGCATCAAAATTTTATGTAGTATTTGGATTTGGGGGTTTAATAATTTGATACTTGAGATTTAATTATAAACAAAGTTCCAACTGACTAGCCTTGTTAATAACAAACCCAATGACTTGAATCGGTGACGATAGGATAGACGCATCACAATTCACAAGACGATTGACTTTGGCGATTTGAAATTGACGATTTCTATTGTTCTTTGAGTGTTCGACTTTTTCGATTTTTGATGATGACGTTCTAGTTCCAGAGGAAGACGATTAATGGTAACAAGTCTAACGACTGTTCATGGGACGATGGATCGATCTTGATGATCAGTCGATGCATTGCCGACTGTCCGACTATATATACTCGAATACACGTTTGTCGATTAAACTCTCAAATATCAATCCTTCATCGTTTCTCAAATTTCAATCCTCCAAATCTAGATACAATCGATTGCATTTGTATTTTTTTCAATTCTCAAAGCTTTGTTGAGCAATGATGGAAAATTATGTGAAGATGTTGAATTGTTGGTAAATGGTGAACTTTCAAGTTTTGAATTTATTGTCATTTTGGCTATTTGACATGAAACTTTATATATAATCAATTTGATTAGCAAAAAAATACAATCTAAAAATATGCTACATGATGTTGCGGTCAATAATTTAGAGATATTGGTTTGTTATTTTGAGAAATATAGGGAGATTGGACTTACTTATGTCGTTATTGAAGCTAAACATATTGCAAATAAAATTGGGATTATGCCTAAGTTTCCTATAAAACATTCTTATTTTAGAAAGAAAAAAAACAGTTTGATAAGATTCCAAATACGGAAAGAGAACAACAATCTGCTCAAGAATAATTTAGAACTGATTATTTTATTGTTTTGGTTGATATGGCTCTATCTTAATTAAAGACTAGATTTGAGCAAATGAAAAATTTTGAATCGATTTTTGGTTTCTTGTTTGATGGGTCAATGTTAGTTTATTTAAATGATGATGAATTGAAAAATTGTTGTATGAATTTTGAAGTTGCATTACCAAATAGCGATTCTTGTGATATTGATGGAAAGTATTTATTTATAGAATTGCAAATTTTGCAGGAAATGTTACCATCGAAAACATAGAAATGAAAAAAGCCATGGACATGCAATTGAGATTTTGGAGTTTGCAAATAAGATGGATATGCTTCCAGATCTGTTTTTTGCATATAGATTTTTTGCTGACTATACATGTCACGGTAGCATCTGCTGAAAGAAGTTTTTCAAAGCTAAAGTTATTGAAGTAATATTTGCGGTCTACCATGAGTCAAGAAACGCTAAAGGGATTAGGAATTTTGAGTATTGAAAGTAAATTTTTAGCGAATGTTGAATATGAAAAAGTAATCGATATTTTTGCTTCAAGAAGTGCACTAAGACATCATTTTAGGTGATATATTTATATTTTGTAATTTGGGGTTTATTTTTTATGCCTCTTTTGTATTTTTCATTTTAATTAATAAAATTCGGCTTAGGATTGAACTGCCTCGCTTGATTAGGTTCCAAGCCCTTTAGTAAAATCGTATCTTTCGTTGGTTCATTTGATTAAAAAATAGGCATGGGGGCATTTTTTAGCATCTTCGCACATGACATAAAAAACCTTTGGAACGACACTGGACATCAATTATTACAATTTCTTGTTAATCATATGATAATTTTATCTTTAACTAATGTATCTATTTTTTATTAACTTCTAAATATTTATGCAGGAATGAAAATGAATATGAACTTTCATTTCTCCATATTTTAATCTGAAATTGAAATTCGACTTATGAGGAATGTGTCTATTATGTTACATAAAATCAAAAAGGTTTTTTTTTAATCTTCATTCCTATTAACTATTAGTTAATAGTAATACATGTAATCTAATCAAACACTTGTTTAGTTATCTATTTTTGAAAATAGACACTTACTATAACACAAACATTAATAAAAATATTAACATGTATTTTAGACAGAAAAAGTAACTTAAATCTTTTGTTCATTAATGAACATTGCTTATAAAAAGAACTATGAAATCACCCCCATAATAAAAAGGATTTGTAACTTCAATTATAATATACAAGTTCTATAGTTTGATTGCTAAAAAAAACATGGAAGATATTTCACAAGTAGTCAAATTATCGAATGGACGGTGTATATGAAGTCCTCCGATTCAATTAAAATCTGTCGACCATAATTGAATATTCAACTTTAATATTATCTGTGGATTCTTAGATAACAATTAAGAATCCAATAAAACTAAACTAACCCAACCCAACCAAACCCAGGAGATTGGATTAATTACAAGATTCATCACCCCAAAGCTCACTCGTTCCCATCATCTGTTTCATTATTATTATGATCACAAGTCACTACAAGTATAACTGGATGAGCTCATCACTTACAACTGATGGTGTCAACACACCCAAATCAGTAAAAAGCAAGGTAAGATATTGAGGCGGGGTGTAATCCCTTGCAGATGTTTCCACTTCAACCTTCGACGGTATCGGCACCCCGAAATCAATCGGTCGTAAAGCCGGCACCATGTCCTTCTGATTCAATGGATACAGACGAGCAAACTGAAAACCCACATTAAAGCTTAATTAAGAAATAACATTACTTGATTAAAGATTCTCTTGGCTACTTTACCATACCTTATAGCTCTCGGCAGCAACGTAAACAGGCTTGTCCATGCTTTTAGCCACCAATGAGATCTGGTATGTTCCCATCATGTTAATTATACCTCCACTTTCAACCACTCCATCCGCCCCAACAAATACCATGTCTATTTCATCCATACTGTAAGCCACAGCCGAATCTATCAACAGTTTCACAGGAACATCAAGTTTTGCAAGCTCATTCGACAATCTTAACCCTGTCCTGTCTGGCCGTCCCTCTGCAGGTAAACTTAAAACTTCTTTCGGTTAAAAAGTTTGCAACTTTGTAAGGCATCGACTTTCAAGAAACTAAAGGAAGATAAAAGCCACACAGACCTGTGCAAAGAACTCGAAAGTGTTTCCTGTTTTCAGCTGCAGTCTTCAAGAGTTCCAGCACAACTCTAGAGAAACCATGGACCAGAATTGTACAGCCATCGAAAATAAAGTCTTGACCTAGCATTGCAATGATTTTCCTAGCCTGCAAAAGTAAAGCTTGGCTGTGTAAAGTACTCAAGATGCATAAAAATGTTCGAAGAAAGTTCACATGCCTTGTAAGAAATCTCTCCAAACTTCTCTGCACGTTCAAGGAAGCGTGACTTGGCTGAATCGAAATCCTCATATTCCACAGCTGAAGTTCTAGTCACGTAGCGCATAAAAAGATCACATCCAGCCGTCAATGAAATGGACGTCATATCCCATGACTGGAAATACAAAAGATATGTCAAAGCTATTCTCTTTAATGGGGTAAGAACCCAGGGTACACAGTTCCGAATATAACAAATATGACCCAGAGTACACAAGCATGTAGTTTGAAAAATTAATGGTTCACGCTCATGCCAATCCTTAAACTAAATGAATCCGGTATATCCCACACAGAGGTTAGGGTCGGAAGGGGGGGGGGGGCTAATATGCATGCATGCCCGCAAGGGAAGAGACTAGAGAGGTTGTTCCTGTGAAGACCCCCAGCTTGCAAAACACAAGCAAAAAACAGAGACATATGAGGAAAAAGTGTCATAGTACATAGAAGTGTGTGCTATACTCGCACCAATCCTTCTCCATCTAATATACTGAAAGAGAGATTTAGGTGATATCTAGGATAAATTAATGAGATGACCATTAATAGAAGGAACAAAAAACCGAGGAGAACCAAGCATTAACAATGAAATTGGTTAATACAATGTTTGTATGATGTCATCATGCTCATATTGTAACAAGAAAGCAATCAAATTTGCTGAAAAGGACACGACGAGAACTCTGCCTTTTGTTTCGTGTGTATGAGAAAGTGCCATGCTGCCTTTCTTAGCAAACTGGATTGGTTAGTTGTACCATAACAACAAGATGACATGACACAACTGTTGTATTGAATATTTTCTCTTTCAAAAGTAGTCGTGCTAGTTAAAGCTCCAGCTTTCCTTGGTACTGGTCTGCATAATTTAGTTTGGCTATTTTGCTAAATAGAAATATGAGTTTGTTCAGCAAAACTCTAAGCCCTGGCCTACCCCTAAACACATGCTAACACATTTACTTAGATACTATAACATACAATTATACCCAGCCAAAAATTAAAAGAAACGGCATGCCCTAATCCAGTTAGGCAGGATTAAGGCAAGCAGATCTTCAACTTGGTTTGTTTCATGAACTCTTCAACTTCCAATTGTCGAGTTGATGGCTTCAAATAATCCTCATTTAGTACCCAATCTTTCCATCTAGTTTAGAGGCAGCACTTGTACAATTAACATGTTTGTTTTGTTGTTATCTGATCAGCCCATCTGGGTGTGAAGGTTTTCATTCACACTGCTATTGAGGGTTTAGAACATCCTATCTTTAGATATAACAAAGCGCCTGAACGTTTTCTATGCCTTACACCTGCCCTTCTTGAGGAGAAGCTGATGCCATTGCCGCTCCTCATGCTTGTTAAGCTCACTATTCTGCTTGACTTAGAGCTCCTACTTGAATGGATCTATGCTGGAAACTTAGTTTATTATTGTTTCTGTAGTTTTCTTATATCTCTGCAGAAAGGCTTAACTATTAAGGGATCTATATTGACATCGATACATGCAAATGTAACTACAAATCACCAAATAAAAACCTACAGAGCAATTCAGCAAAGACAAGTATAATTGGATGCTTCTTAGACAAGGAACGCATACCTTAAGAGAATCCGAAGCCGTCTTTAGTTCATTTTGGAGCTCCATCATAGTAGTGGCCTGGCTAGACCTAATAACAGAAGCCAAAGCCCTAATAGCGGCCACAGCTTCTGCCAAATCGGGTTGTTTCCTCCAATTATTAAACTCGTCAATGACGCTGAAGGAATTATCAGAACCGATGGAGTTGAGTGAAGCCTCAGGCTCAGACGATGGGGTAGCGGTGTCACGGCCGGCAGCAGCGTGGGCCTGAGCAAGCCAATCGCTGGTGACGACTCCATGGTGAGCGGCTCTTGTTTGGTAGTAAGGGGATATGGTAAGGTTAGGGTCTAGGGTTTGGGCCATGGAGGAGGAGGGTGGTGGAGAGAGAAGACGAGTCTCAGAGTCGTCCCGAAGGAATGAATCGTTCTTGTCAAGAATGAAAGAAGCAGATCTCCACCACATGTCCGTTTTACCAAAATCACCCGGAACTCGGATTCCAGTCACCCTCACGGTCACGGCTGATCAGATTCTGATGCCTTTAAGTTGAGAGCATCACCAATTTTGGGGATTTTTCATTCTCCAAAACTTTCTTTCTTTCTTTAAAATGGGAGAAAGAAATATTAAGAAAAATATATAATATTTTATGAATTTGTATAAATTATTTTAGTAATATTAATTAATTATGTGATTGATTATTATGTAATTTACAATTTATTTCTTAATGTAACTTGAAAATAAACATTTGATTATTATGTAATTTACTGGACCAGATTGATGTCAATGCTTGTTCAATTGTAAGCGGTGTTTATACGACATTGGTTTGTGACTTATTTATGTGTTCCGTCACAACAAAATGGTAAATTGGATTCCCCAGTCTTCTCATGTTTTTATGCATTTTCAAGGGTAAGCATGAGTTAATTGTTTACAAAACTTGATTAAAACTTTGTTTCCCGTTTTTAATGTTTTATGGTTTTATTCTTAATCGTGTGAGTATTTTGATTAATGAACTTTCATCAAGAAAATGGTGGGTTTCTAGAGAGATGTTGCTTTTACAGTAAATGTATTTCATTTGCAAAATTATGATTTAAATGACAATATTTTGGTTTTGTCGTTTTATGATTATGATAAAAACTGTTTTACTAGGCGTTAATTCTAACTTTTTTTTTCTTTATTGGCATGTGCATCAGGTTCGTTGGGGAATGGTATTAACAAGGCCGTGATGAAATGGGTGCTAGATAGTTGCACGGAAATGATTTAGTTTATCGTTGATGTCTTTCACATTTGGAGATGACGACATTAATTTATTCGGTCATAGTAACACCTAACCTTAACTTAGACTTTATATAAAGCTTGATTATATCTTTTATTGATGTTGGTTTTAGATTTGATACTTGAGGTAATTATAGTATTGATTAATAGAAAAGGTTTTTTTCTTTATTTGTTGTGTTATTAAAAAAATTAAAATTGGTCGTTCTTTGAGGATTTGAGAGTGTTACATAAAATATATAATACATTTGATAGTCAAAATGTATAAAAATATAAAAACTTGTTTTTTTGGTTTTTATTTATTATTAACGATAAATTTAATTATAATTGTTATATTTAATGTAATCAAGGCATTAATTTTCATGAAAAATCAATGAGGTAGGTGGTTATTAATTTCACAATAAGGTAGTAAATATCACATTACATGGGGAAGGCCAACAACAAAATCGGAATGGGCAACGGAAACTATCTAACAGTCTACGTATTTGTTAGGTTAATATTCGCATAACTGTTATGTCCATGCATGTCTATGTAGTCGAGTATCTGACACATAAAGTACATGGTACTCGAATGTAACACCATATGAGAACAACTCATTAAGTGTAAATGTGAACGACATCAATACAACCATGAAATTTGATAAATCTTTTTGTGTGTGTTTAAAATTTAAATAAATAACAAAAAATAGTGATGGGTAAGTAGTCGAAAAGGTGATACTTGATAAATTATGCAAAACAGTGAAGTATGGAATATAACATTGACTGATATTATATATGATATATTGCGACCGGGATGCAGGGTGGTGAATACCATCCTCACCCCCATCTCCATTTTCGTTTGAGTAGAGATGATGTATCACCATCATTGGACCCCGAGAAAATAATGTGGGGAATTCTTGTCTTGATCAGGTTGGGTATCTACGGAAGTCAGAGCCACGACCATCAATACTGTCTGTATATTTTTCACAAATATATAGCTACAATTAATATATTTTTTTATAAATAAAAACTTAGTAGAAGCCCCCAAGTTGGTTGGGTGTGGGCCTTGGAGAAAAAATGTTCAATTTTTTAGTCATCTTAACGAAGTCTTGAATTAAGTCTTCTCTTAGTTCTTATATTGAAAATAAAATTATGTATTTTGAATGATTTTATATAAATTTTATGTTTTCTTTTAATGTAAAAGGGTTTTTAGCATATGGTCAAATATAGTTCGTTGAAACAACGGGTAAAAACAACTTATAAAGCTCTAAAAAAACATTGGGTTTTCTAGTGTGTGGTTTAAAAAAAGATTTCAATGTTAAATATAATTTAATCAAACATATTTCAGACGTTACCTTTTTTTACGGTCTTTTAATTGAAACATCAATTTAACGTCATAATTATTTTGGTATATTCTTCCTCTCTTACTACTTTTTGATCTAATTAGTGCCAAACCAAACCAAACCAAACCAAACCAAACCAACCCAATCTAAATCAAATCATTATTATTAATTACTTTTAAAAAACTATCTCTGATTGGTGAATAGTTAATTGATTGGAATAAACAACAAAAAAGAAGCTCAAAAGTGGGAAATGTGTTGTTAAACCCATGAGATTAGTTTCATACACAATAACAATATATATACATAAACCTAATAACTCATACAAACTTAATATGTGAAATTGCGGTGTGAAGCCGGGTTTGACTTTGAGTAATGTATGAAACCCAATGAATTCCATGAACGGATCAAAAGCATCAATACGAAATGAAAAGAAATTAAACAAGTATATACATCAAGTCATCCATGGGGTAGTTGACTTCAATTACCACCACCATCCATAACTAGAAGCAGACTTGTTTTAAGAAGATGAACAATGGCTTCTCCATCTCTGAAACATACATACATACATACATGTCAATAAATAATTAAATCAAACCAGGCTTCATAAAATCATATAAACGCCAAACAGAGCTACCTTTGATTCCAAGAAAAGCTGCCCAAGTGTTGATGACGATGAAGCCTAGGACCTTCATCATATCCTTCACATGTTATCTCCCCTTTATCATCTCTGTAACATACTATACCGCTCGATTTATCTTCAAACACCTGTCCAAAAATAATATGAATACTAGATTTTATCCATGCTTGTACTCACGGTTTTTATAAATAAATAGTTTGTTCCCTTCTCATGCATACATGTAATTTAATTAAAATAAAAATAACCTTTTGGAGTTTGATGTTGGATCTGATGTGAGAAGATGGGTTTTGTGTTGTTGAAAGCATGAAGATCCTTTTAGAAGTGGATGATGGGGTTGGATTAGGGTTAGGGTTAGGGTTATGATGAGCATGAGCCAAACAAGACATTCTTACAGCCATTGAAACACAGAGGAGAGGTGGGAAGATGATTAAAAGGGTGGAGATCAGGTACTATATATAAATACACATATACAACATGTGTATGTGTACTGAATTACAAAAATGCCCCTGTAGAGATTGTATTGATCATGGTTCATTATAAGATCTAATTTTTTATTAAATGATTTAAATAAGTGATTATTAAAATCCTAAAACATATATATCATTCTTTTTTTTTTGCATTTAGAATTTTGGGGGGGGGGGGGGGGGGGGGGGGGGGGAGGGAGTGATTTGTCAAAATTTTCTATAAATTTGACATTTGCTTTCCATCAATCTATGGTTATGATATGAAATGAATCATGGATTCCTTTTTTTTCATTGACATTTGATAGAAACATTTATGAAATATTGAGTATAATCAATCATTGCATCTCTAACACATATTTTTACAATGTAATTTGTTTTATAAAAATTATCATTGGAGAGAGTATCATCGATACAAAGTTTTTATAAGTAAAAAAGTGTAGTTTTTTTTTTTCAAGAACCAACATTATAAAGACTATATAGTTCTTATAAGAACCTCAACCCATTTGAGTTTATTGCTCAAGAATCTTGATTCTTATTTCTTAACTTGAAGTTGGTGAGTACAAAATTTTATTAAGGGTGTTTACGAAATTTGATTGTGGATGTGTATGGAAAGAAATATTTATGAAATTTGAAAATAATTAATCTTAAATTAATGGTTTAATAAGGACTTGTTAAATTGGTGTAGTAATTAGTTGATGATGATTAAAAGAGGTGTTCACATGCGAATATTCTTTTTTAGTTTCACTTACCAAGCTTTTGGGCCACTAAACAAATGTGTTTGAAAGCCTGTCACTAATTACAACTTCAATCAACCAACCAACATGTTACTATTTTCCAATTATCATTCATTTTTAAAAATCCATATGATATGATATTTAAACCCAGATGGGTTTTAAAAATCTAATTGACTCCAACCAGATAATATTAACTATTTAAATGACACGTACATGTAATATACGTGTCTTTTTTTTACAAGTAACACCAATTTTTTGACTTTTGGAGTTTGACATCTTTATTAAACTTGAGTCATAGCCATTACATTTAAAGCATCTCTAGCGGTTATAGTATTGTTAGAATTTAAAAAAAGTTTGTTTTAACTCTTTTTCACAATAGAGAAAAAAGGAAAGCAAATAAATAAATCTCCAAATGAAAGAAAATACAGTATACTTGTTGGAGATGGTATCAATCAAATTTTTTTTTAACATTGGATGAAATAAAGATATTTGTTTTTTTGACTAACCATAAGTGTTTGAGTCAGTTTACATACACCTTGATTAATCTTATGGGTCTTGAAAAACAACCATCAATTACTTGTAAGACTCGAACCGATGACATCTGCAAATGTTCCAAAATATTTTTGTTTTATGTATATAACAGATTCTAATGTATGTCTTTAATATAAGAATGATAGGTGATTTATGATGAAAAACTTCAAAATCCTAAATTTAATATCAAAAATATTTGCCAATCAACAAACTGAAACTATAAACCTTTATCTATTTTTTTTATTTCCTTTTTAATGTATAAAAACCGATCAATTTTAAAAAGTTGTTGTAATATAAAAAAACCCATGCCTATATTCAAGCCGGATTAAAGAAGGCCACAACAGGTCTTGTGTACCCATTTAACATATTTTTCTAAGTAGATTTTTTAACTTATTAAAAATGGATATACTAAACTCTGAAGGGCGATTCAAGATATCAGAAATACAATGAATATCAACCCGAAAATCAAAAAACTTAAAATTTTCTCAAAATCAACAATAAAAACCCTTCGGAACGATGACATTTCGACTAAAAACACATTGAGCGACTTATCTTATTCAAAGAGAAAGATCTCAAATATCTGGAATCATTTTTCTTTTTTATAAGTGCTAAAATCACTTATTTTGACTACCGACATTAGATATACCTTAAAAGTGCACGCGTTTGACATAAATTTTGGGTCTGCCGTTGCCTATACTAATACTACAACCAGTTTTGTTTAGTTCAAAGGAAGCTCCATATGGTGGATCTTCCAACGTTGAAGTCATTTATATGTGTGTATTCTTATAGATGTATGTTAAGAGCAAGTAAATAAATGAAGCAGGTCATGATCTTGTATTGGTGTATGTGTATATATTTTACATTGCATTAGATTTTGAGAATACATCTAGGAGATATTAGGTAACATCTAGGAAAGGTTAAATATAAATTATAGATACATTAAATTTCAAGAATTAATCATCTATGAAACATTAAAAATAAATTAATAACACAATAAAAGTGATGGTTTTTTGAAAGATCATGTCCAACTTAGATAGAGTCACAAAAACCCTATGTCTATAAAAGGATATAACATTGTTCTAATTCTATATTTTATTTTCTTTTTGTTACATGGTGTACAAATGTGAGTAAAATATTTGGAGAGTATTATTTGAGAGTGGTAACTTAAAATATTAATTTGTGTGAATGTAACAAATTTCCTATAATTGATTTTTTATATGGAGAAATAGTGTTTAAAAAATCAAAACAATTAAAAGAAAATGAAAACTTACATTTAGAATTAGAGATGACCTACCTTGGTGCGGATCAATTATGTATAGGACTGATTTTAAGTTTTTTTTTTTTTTTTTTTTTTTATAAATCATGATACAATTTTTTCAAGATTTTATCTCCTTAAATATACTATCTAAAATGTATTTTAGTACTGCATTTCAAAAATCGTAATTATAAAAACATGTATGACACATTTATGCAAAATAGAATAATTTTTTTAAATTGGAAACCGTCCCAATGAAACAACGACTTATAACCACACCTAGGTTGATCATATGATTTTCAATTGCGACCGATACAAGACCCGTTTTTGACCATCTATTTTATAAATATGTACACAAGCAATGTATAAAGAGATGGTTATGTGCTATTTAAGTAAAGGTAGAGTAGGGAAGACAAAGGTTTAAATAGGGAAAATAATTATTGGTTTGAAAATATAATGAAATTTCCATTAATGAGTTTGTGCCACTGTCTGCCCAAACCAATTTTATTGCTTCCAATTCAATATCCAATTATAATGTTTCCATAGATCCCCATTATTCTATAGATTTTCAACAATCATATTTGTGTTCTTATTAAACTTATCTTAAATACCTCGGTGTCTACCTCATAAGTAGTGTTTTTTTAGTCTCGTTAAAAGAGTCTATAAACTATTGTATGTATTTGGTATTTAGATATGACATGACAATTGTTTAGCGTTGGTAAGATGACTAATTAACCACGACTGACTGTAATTAAGGAGGTGCATGAGGGATGTGCCTATGAGAGTGAAACAGAGAGATCAAGGCGACGAATGGGACAGTATCAACTTTTGTGCATGGCTACGCATTTCAGGTCATACAAACAACATTGATCCCTTCGGCTCATACGAACACCATCAAGTTCATTATTAGCCATCTAGGGTTCTTTTGATTTCCTTTATTTTTCCTCTTTTGCTATGATTTAATGGTGTTGTGTGAAATCTACAAATGAGGAATGATATATATAATATAATATTTGTTTAATTTTTAATTGGAAATCAAAGATAAAAGACCACAATACTCTCGGTTTAATGGGTATTTTTAATGGTGCTAGTGGGTAGGGACTCAAACCACAAACTTTTATATACCAAGAGGTTTTTCTTGCAATAAAAATTTTGTAGGGACTAAAATCACAAAAAACAACATACTATAGGGACCAAATTTGCAGTTTACTCTAACTAAGATTTAAAGAATGAACAAAATGTAAAAAATAAAATTGTTTTAAAAGAGAATTATGTTTTAAATGAAATAATGATTCGTATTTTTGTAGTGTCATACATACCAAATACACATTAATGATTATTTCATTAAAAAAAACACACACACCAAACTAATGGAGGCCATTAACATAAACAATGGTTTTAACTCCATCTCCAACCCCACCACATATGAATAGAAACAAAAACATATATCTAGTTTCTATTCCATCTTCATTATTTACCACTTGGAGCTTCTATAACAAAATCGAAAAATATGCATAAACACATACCCCTCTTTTTGAGATTCTCGGTACCATCAAAATTATAAATGAAGGTTATCAATTTGAGTATTGCAAGACCATTATTTTAAGATTGGTTGAGATTAGAAAAGTATTCATGTAATACAATGAGATAAATCTCAATTTTAATGTTTAGTTTTTTTCCCCTCTATTAATATAATACAATTTTATGTGGTTTTAAAAAAACGATAGTGTTTTTATTTTTGAATGAAATATAAATTTAAATATAACATAAAATTTTGAAAAAAAAAATCGATATTAGTATCAAATTAACTATTAATAGTTCTCGTTTTTTGGTGTAAATTTTTTAATTCAATTTTTAATTATAACTTAATTTAGATTTAATAACAACATAATATATTTTTGGTTTAATGATATAATTTTTTATAAATATAATAATTAAACATTCTGGTAGAACTCAATAATTATCTTAATTATATTTTAATTCTATATATCTAAAATAGATATTTATCATGTATTTAATTATTTTTATCTGCAGTTAGTTACACGAATTTAAAAATAGAACTTTAATAAGTTGTACTTACGCAAACTTACTTGTAATCTTGAATTTTAAGTAATATACATTAATAAACGGTATTTCATGCAAAAAAAAATGATTTTATGTATTTGATTATGTTTATCTGCAATTAGTTACATGAATTTAAAAATGGATATGTATCTTAATTAGATATTCTGTTAGAACTCAATGATTATCTTAATTATATTTAAAATTGATATTTATTCTGTATTTGATTACGTTTATTTGCAATTAGTTACACGAATTTAAAAATGAAGTTGTACTTATGCAAAATTACCAGTAATAATAAATTTTAAGTAATATGTATAAAAAAATAATATTTTATACATAAAAAATAGTTTTTAAGAATTTTTTATAAAAATATTTTATAATACAATATAATTATAAATATAAATATAAATATATACAAATTGTTTGAAACGTCACGGTTGACAAGAAGGAAAAAAGAAAAGAAAAGAAAAACAAGTTTGTCCTAATCTTAACGTTGGTGAAGAGTGGCATGTGAGTTGAGTTGAGTTGAGTTGAGTTGAGCAGAGCAGACCTCTGCGTTTTCTTTTTAAATGTATTGACCAGTTGTTGAGCCTGAGGATGCAGGAGGACCATCTCATTATCCAGCAGTCACTCCCTTCTTTCCTACTTCAGCATTCTCCTGTTTTTCCTTCCTTTCACCCACTTTTTTCCTTCTAAATAACAGATTCCATCCTATCTACCCTTCACCCTAACTCCATTATTATCATGGACCTCAAAACCTCCAACCATCATCCCCATCCCCATCCCCAACCTCAGGTTATATTAATAATACATTCTTTCTTCTTTCTTGAAATAAAAATTCATCCTTTTTGATTGATTTTTTTCTTCTGTTTTACAGGGAGTTGAAGCAAGAAAAGAGGACCCATTTGATGATAGATTTCCTGATAACAACCTTTGTAACCTTACTAGTCTCAAGGAGACCTCCAATTTGGTTAAGTTATTCCCGATGGCGAGGAAAGATGGAGCCGTGACTAAGAGTAATGTGGTGGAAGCGCCACCTACGCCGGGTCGACCCGTTTTTAGCTTTAGTGTTGGGTCAAGAAAGAACTTTCCTTCAAAATGGGATGATGCTGAGAAATGGCTCATTAGTGGACCTGATTCCCCTGCCCATCATCATCTTCATGGATTTGTCAAATCCCCAGATTTTGTGTCCAAACAGTCTAGTAATAATGCTGGCAGTAATGGGCTTATCATGAAACAGGGAAATCATCATAAAACAGAAGTTTCTTCAGAGGAAAAGGTCTCCAAAGCAATTTATGGTTTTCAAGTTCCAACTACTGTTTCTATGGAACAGGACCACCATCACCATAACTCAGCCAGACCTTTCAATGGGGTCTCAGCCTCAGATTCCTCTGACGTACTTCTAAAAGGTAAACATCTTCTTCTTCTTCTCTCTTGTCCTCTTTTCATTTTTCATCATTTGCTCCCCATCATGATACAATTTTCTTCCTTTTATTTAGATGCTCACCAACCATTTGATAATTTGCATGCCTAGTTTAAACCTTCAGTTGGGTTTTTTCTTGCCACAAATCTTAGTTAAAATGCCTTGCTTCATTACATTATTGATGTTCATAGTCCAAATTTGGGAGGTGGTGTTTTTAAGAGCATTTATTCCTGAAATTATTACTATAATATGGTTCATAAGTATGGGACACAACTGACATTAAATCTTCAAGTAGTGTGTAATTCTTGAAGCTTTGATCGAACATCAAATATGTAAATCTTTTTATGGTTGCAGACAAATTCACAAATGGATCGGAAGCCAATGTTTCAAGATTCAAATGCTTGGTGCCAATCAACCAAGGGTTTCTATTCAGTCATTTACAGGAGAATTCCATGAAAGATGCCTCCACAGAAGTTGTTCATGAAGTTAAACACAGAGAAACTGGAACCAATATGACACCAGATGGAAGCTCCACCACCTCACGGTGCCCCACACCGTTCAATTGCTTGTCTCCGCCACGACATAATACCCCTGCAAATATGTCAGGCCCGTTGACATTATTAAATCCCAGCAGCTCCTTTGATATTGCAGACTTACAAGAGTGTCATTTAGCTAAGTTACAACTAGAGACACCATTTGATTCAGTTACTTGCAATTGGAGCTCAAGGGAGGAGGAAGAAGAAGATATATCCAAGAGTTTGAGACACTTTGAGATGAGCAATGAATGCCCAAAAAGCATTCCAGAGCCTAGAGCTTGTGCTTGGGATGAAGAAGGAAAGACTAAATCCCACCTAAGGTGAATATGTCAATATGCTTAATGAAAAATGTAACCCATTTTGTCCCCATTCCAAGCATTGAGTTCCTCAAATAATTAGTTTTGGATTATGAGAGCTGACTTTGCTGATTATATGTAGGTACCAGAGAGAAGAAGCCAAAATCCAAGCTTGGGTGAACCTCCAAAATGCTAAAGCAGAAGCTCAATCAAGAAAACTTGAGGTAAAAGATCATTTCTTGAATCATCGGTGTAGTTTTCTTTTCGAGCAAATCACAAAAACCACCAAAACTTAGGGCTCGTTTCTTAGGAGCTTAATTAGACTCATAGCTTATTCTGTCAGCTATACATTGACATGTTTGTTAGTGACTTAATAATATAGAAAGTGGTTTATTCAATAAGCTCCTTGGAGGGCCCTTTATGAGGAAAGCCAATTTTTTGTAAACATCTCTCTCCCAATTAAAAATATATGATTCTTCCATCTATGAAAAAGCCCACTCAATTGAAAAATATGTTATTTCTATCCATGAAAAAACCCTTTCAAACAAAGACCTTCCTAATTTATACGGACAGATTAATCCATACGAGACTTGATTAAAAACTAACCAAACAGCCCATTCCAATCAAATTCGTCATGATAGAGGTTTCATTCTTATTTATGTGTGTGAACAATGACTAGATTATGTTGACTGCATTTGGAGGACTTTGTCTGGACTCTAGTTCGGTCCTCATAGCATTGAGCCCCTCACCACTTCTAGCCTTGAAACATCTTACTTTGTTGTCGTTCCAATGCAAGATTATGGACATAACTTGTAAGACAGCAGCAAAAGTATCCACGATTTCAATCTTTTTTAATACTTGATGCTTGACTATGTTAAAAGACTGCAACTTTCCAAACCCCATGCGAAGATACTATTAATTTACAGTATTATTTATTGGGAGATGGGCTTCAAGTTTGACATTTCAATCCCAAAGTGATTAAACTATTACTTCTACAAGAGTTCCAACGATGGCATGCATGCAAACAAAAGCTAGAAATATTAAAATATAACTAAATAAAGACTTGTGGATTTGACTTGAATGTTATTTTGGATCTGTAAATGATGTTGGTATGTGGATTTGGATGATATTAACAGGTAAAGATTCAGAAAATGAGATCGAAATTTGAGGAGAAGATGATGAGGAGGATGGCAAGTGTTCATAGAAAAGCGGAAGAACTGAGAGCGGCAGCACAACGCGAGCACAATGTTGAAATTCAAAAGATAAATATGGGAACAGAGAAGATGATGAACGTCCATGAAAGCATGCATTTTTCGGGGTATGGTCGTTCATGTGGTTGCTTCCCATGTAGCAATCTTCATCCTTAATGATGGTTTAAAAGTAGCATTTTATTTGTAGCTTGAGATGGACATGAATAGTGAATCCCATGGGATTCAATTCAAAGAAGAGAATAACAAGTGGTGAAAGTTACTGAAGGGAAATTAGCATTCAAAGTTTTACTAGCATTTGTACAAGAATATATAACAAGATAAAAACAAAAGAAAAGAAATGGTTAAGATGTGTAAAAAAGGTAGCATGTGTGGTCAGTTCATGGCAGAGAAATATACACAAGATTGGAATCTTGGACAGTCTCCTTCCCCTGCTTTTGTTTAGGGTGCAAGTTTTGATGCAAGATGCACAAGTCATTATAACAGCAAATCCTTTTTATATGTGTCAGTGTCAGATTTGTACATGGATATAATGTTGGTCTCTGTCCTCTTCTGTGTGTGTATATATACACAAGTTAATGCACCGATTTTATTATGTTAATTGGAATTAAGACAAGATTATCTTTATGCTTGCTGTAGTTAATGGACTGGAAATTGATTCTAATTACATGTTCATTGCAAACAAGATAATGTAAGATGGGAGAATGGATTAGAGGGTTGTTTTTGTTTTTGTTATTGTAGGGTGTTTTCTGATCACCATTACTGAACCAGAATGTGATGGCAGTGGTCAGAGGTGGAGCACATGGCTTCTCTATCTTCGAAGCATTTGTTCTTTTGGCGAACAAACTCAAAAACCCATTTCTTAAAATGCTAGTAGTTGCCCCATTCTCTCTCTCTCTCTCTCTCTCTCTCTCTATATATATATATATATATATATATATATGCGGCTGCACACACACAGGCATATATATATATATATATATACATATATGTAATCATGTGAAGGTGATTTGCTCTCTCTTTTAACCATATAAATTCGGATATAAATGACTAAATACATACTAATATGTATTGTTTTCGAAACCAAAGTCTTTGGGTCCACAAATCCACTATTTAGACATCCATCAAGAATGTTGCATTTACAGTGATGGAAGAAACAGATAAGAAAAGTACGAGTGTAAATAAAAGACATGACTTAAGTGTAAACAATTAAAAGAAACCTTGGTGTGGGATAGGCTTTGGGTGATTGGGTAAAAGATAATTGTTATTGATAAACGAATGAAAATTTTCTTCATTTAACTGGTTTTTGAAGGCCGTTAAAAGGAAGAGATCGAATACAGACATTTTCGCAAACCGTGATAGCTATCCATTTTGTAACTTTGAAACTGTAAGTGTTGATTTTGACCAAGTTTGTACTTCACTCGATGTTTCGATAATAATAAAACAAAGAGTTAAATGTATGAAATAGCAACTTACTTTCATAAATTTTCTTATTATAGCATTCTAATTTTGTTTTTTCTTATTACAACAATGTATTTTCAAATTATTTTTTATTAAAGCATCACACTTTAAAAAATCTACCCAATATAGCAATTGATAACTTGTTACCTTTTAAACCGGTTAACCCATTGACTTTTTTTTTGCCTGTGTGACTTTAATGAGGTGATGTGGATGACACATCATTTTGATGACTTAATTAAAATAAAAATAAAAATCTATTTCAAATTATTATTAGTGATTTAAAAAAATAGTTAATTTTTTTGACTTTTTCTTATTAAGTTGGATGTAAATTAAATATTTTAGAGTAAAATATTTCTTAAATAAATATGCTATATTATTTTTGAGATATATTTTKTTTATAAAAAAAGTAAYAYTTCTTATTTYATGTTGTTMAAAAAAATACATATATTTTAAAGTTCTCTTTAAAATGTTAACAAAATAAATTGTGTTTTACAATTTTTTAATATTGTTATATTAATGAATAATTAAAAAAAACTAAGTAATTTAATATATTTATACGTTAAGTAAAAGTTTTTGAACAAATATAATATAATTTTTAAAAGATAATATTTTTTTTTTTGGTAAAAAGAGAACAATTCTTATTTATTTTTTCAAAAAAATACATGTTTTAAAAATATTAGCCAGATAAATTGTCTTATACTAGTTTTATTAATATTCGTATAGTAATGAATAATTTAGATATTTTTTAATTCATTTAATATATTTATTAAATAATATGTAAAATATCTATATATTAAAATTAAAAGTACATTGTTTAATAAGAACTAGTAGATGCTATAATAAAATAATTTTGAAAGTACAATGTTGTAATAAGAAAGTCACATCACTATAGTACATGTGGACAGCCTACGTGGACAATGAGGTGACATGAAAGCCTGATATAATGAGTAAATTTAAATCAAAATGTTACCTAATGCTATAATGGGTAAATTTTTCAAAGTAGAATGTTTTAATAAAAAATAGTTTGAAAGTACATCGCTGTAATAAGAAAAACTGAAAATACAATGTTATAATAAAAAAAATTATGAAAGTAAATTGTTATTTTGTGGATTTTGCTCTAAAACAATCTAATAGGGCCGTTGGGCTCAGGTAAGATCAAATAGGCAATCGTAGGCCCAATAACAAATCACGAAGGATTTGGGTCTTAAGGCTTACTTATCGGACCCTGTATTTTATATTTGGGCCGGGTAAAACTGACGACCCGATCTGGTCCAGTTACAAAGAACCACCATTGCCTTGCTTCCCAAGAAGGGCTTATACTCGAATAAATACACTTTCAATCGGAGGACATCGCCAATCTTTTCTCTTGGAGCTAATCTATCATAAACAAACAGGTACGTTCTGATTCCATTATTCATACTAATCTGTCATCAACGGTACTTGTTTGATTCGCTGATTCATAGGATAGTTTAACATTGAATTATGTTTTGGTCTTAGTCGGCTAAGTCTACCAATTTAAACCCTTGAATCTGATTAGTTTCCCTTCTGGAACCTAATTATGCATACTAATACGTTAATCAATTGCATTGCAGAGATCTATTAAGCTGTTAAACTGAATCGAAGATGTTTCTAACCAGGTAAATGGATTCTGATTGCAAATCTGGTTTCTTTTCCTTTTCGAATTTGGGGTGAGAATTTTATCCTTTTTACTCGGGAAAAACACAATGAGCGGCGGCGACAAGGCATCATGCTTTCCGTGCCCTAATTAATTGGGCCGAATTTAATTTTCAAATGGCGTAGTTTATCAAGCTTCCCACTCAAGTGACAAAGAAAATCCAGACGGAACAAATTTCATATTCTCTTTTCAATGTGTATAATCATGGGCTTGGATTGGTATCCTAAAATCCATATTTTAAGTTGATGTTTGGGTTTATGTAGGACCGAGTATGATAGGGGTGTTAACACCTTCTCTCCAGAAGGCCGGTTATTTCAGGTTGAATATGCCATTGAAGCCATCAAGGTGAATGTTTTGAAGTTTTGTGGCTGTATACTGTTTGATTTTGTTTGTCTTATATTGTGATTACCATGAAATAATTTCAATGTGTGTGTGCTTGGCTGTTCATGATTACAGTTGGGTTCAACAGCCATTGGTTTGAAGACCAAGGAAGGGGTCGTTCTTGCTGTTGAAAAGCGTATTACCTCACCACTTCTGGTACGTCTATTATTTGTTCTCTGTCGTTGTGTGGGTCTCGTTCTAGAATATTTGGGCAGCATATAGATGACCAAACATTATGGACATTGTCCATGCTGCTACTTAAATTTGTGGTGAAGGTTCAAGTGCCTTAGGTGTTATCTGGTGAGTTTTTGTTCTATCTGTTGGGTAGGGATGGTTGTTAGATGTCTGTGCTTGCTACTATCACTGTAAACTATCAAACTTTTTTAGAAAGCTATCTATTGTCTATTTAAATACGTGATGAGATATTAAGTGCCTTAACAATTCTCCTCTGAATTTCTATGTTCTTATTTATTAGCACAATCATATTGTATGTCACACGAGCTTATCTGATGATTGGGTTTCGCTTTAAAGCTGCTCTTTTTGCAATGAAAACATGAAATGTTCTTGCATAGTTGCATCAATTTGCTTGATGCTGCAATTCTGAACTAATATTATGAGTTGATATGAAACGGAATTTCGTTTCTTTAAGTGGATTTCTTATATTTGAATATTATAATAACCATAGCTACACGCTAAGTAGGATATTGCCTGCTGTTTTATGCTTGACCTGTTGATTGGTTGCAGTAGTATTTTTTGTTGTCATGATGTGGAGGTATTAGGGCAATATGATAGTTTTGGCATATCATATAATCAGGAATAAGTTGGGAGTAAAACATTTTACCACCATTTGGTTCTTTCCTAGGTTTCTGGTGGTTCAGAAACCAGAAAACATTATGGTGTACAACCTTTTCATTATGCTTTCGACTGTTTGGTTTCATGGCTCATAAGTCGTAAGACATGCAGAGAAAGTTAGGATGTGATTTATGATTTTGAACTGCATAATGGATTGTGGGTAGAAACTTATGCTGGAAATTACTTGGAATAGTTGGCAAGAAGCAAATCATGTTTTGCAGTAGGACTATAGTCTTGTGGAACATATAAAAGGTCAGGTCCACAAGACAATCATTGTACGGTATTTGAAGCATTGGTACTTGGAAACAGACAATAGGTGCTATAAAAAATTTAAGTTTGTGTTTATCGTGCCAATACATTAACTATAATAATGTATGAGAAAATTATATGTAGCCACTAGCTCATTTAGGAACTTCAAGAGGAGCTGCTTTTAGAGTTCTTCAAGTGCTCTTTTTTTCAGAATTCATCGAGTCATAGAGGGGTATTACTATCACATGCAAACCAAACATGAGTCCTGTATGTGTAATCACCAATGTGAAATTTTTCTTTCATGCGGGTTCTGTTGTAGCTTATTTGTGGTGAGCTATTTAAGTTCATAGCTAATCTGTGTCCAAGTTTTACTATGAGAATCACATGAACTTTAATTAGAAGTTGTATATACCAAATGGTGGCTACATGAACTTAGAAACCCTAAATATGATATAGAATAGACATATACTGTTATTTCAGAGCCAGGAGATGCAGGAAGAATTATGTCTGGTGTTGGTTATACTGCCATTGCATTTCTTATTCGTGTAATTAGTTTACTGCTATTAAATGAATGATTTTTATTTCACCTGACTATTATTTTGTCATTTTGAAGTTAAAGCGACAGTTCTACTCAAACATTACTTGTTATCTCAGGAACCTAGTAGTGTTGAGAAAATTATGGAAATTGATGAGCATATTGGCTGTGCCATGAGTGGATTAATTGCAGATGCCCGCACACTCGTTGAACATGCACGTGTTGAGACCCAGGTGACATGATCATCAGTCGCTATTTTATTCACTAGGAATGAGTTTCATATTGATATTGAGTTTTAGTTATATTGTTTCAGAATCATAGGTTTTCGTATGGTGAGCCAATGACTGTTGAGTCCACTACCCAAGCCCTGTGTGATCTGGCCCTGCGATTTGGTGAAGGAGATGAAGAATCTATGGTTAGCAATTCAACTTATCACTGTGATTCTTGTTTTCTTGCAATTTAAGCAAATTATGGTATCTTTGTTTCAATTTTTGGTTGAAGGACAAGTTTTTCACTATCGTTTGTGTATGAGTCTTGTTATAATGAATCAGTGTTAACGATCTTCTATGATCGCCTCTCCCTGCATGCTTATTGATTTCATTGAGCTGTTATAGTGGGAAAATATCTAGGTATTACTTTGTTAGGCAACGACCGTGTGAGGGTAACCGGTGATTTTGATGGCTGTATCAGTAGGAGTTAGATGCTGTGTGTGGTAATATTTGGTGGTAGGGTGCTTTTGGGTGTTAACTGGGGTGGCTGTTGTGGTTCAGATGGTATTTAGTGGCCGTGTGTTACACTCATCAACTAATATATAAAAAGTTTATTTTTTTTGCAGTCTCGGCCTTTTGGGGTATCTCTTCTTATTGCTGGCCATGATGAAAATGGTCCTAGTCTGTAAGTACAAATAATTATTTCGTCATATTTGGTTTTATTTATCTAACTCGGTATTGTTTGTAAAGTAATAAATTCAGTTTACTAATTATAAAGAAAAAGAAGAGTTTTAATATTCTTATACCGTGTCTTTTGTTTAGTGCTTGTAGTACTTGCATAACAGCATAAGGTACATGAACTCAGAATATACAGGATTCTGTATACACACAACACATACTCACTAGATGAACCTGGAGATATGTTGATCAACATTATTACATCGGTCAATGCACCATCAATTGATGGCTTCTTGAACAGATTAGACCATAATGAGTCCACAGTTGCATTTCAGGAATTTATGAAAATTCTATTTAGGAATGATATGGATTTCTTTTTATGTTAGAAAGATTGGTAGTCACAAGGTCTTGAGAGTGAAGTTCTGAGGTTTCTTGATTGCTGTTACAGTTTTAACTATGCTTTCGCTCAAGGAGGGCAAACTTGTACCAGACTACCAGTATCAGGGATATTTTCCTGCCGCCTGTTTGCTAATGCAGAAATTTATACATTTTATCCTTTTTTTTTTTTGTCTTTTTCATTTTTAATATGACCACTTTTGTTTTCTTGTTCTTGCTTTTGTTTGTATGTTATTGCTTACTCATAACTAGTTTTTCAAAATTTGTAGTACTTGCCTTCTTGTCTTAAAGTTCTTTTTTTTACACTTTCTCAAAAATTTTGGGCTAATTTTCTCCATTTGACATTCTCTTTCACATTTTTCACAAGCCGGGTGTTTTCACAGAAACAATCGCTCTACGCTTTAGAGTAGAGGTTAGGTCTTCCTAAATTTTACCCTCGACCCCCTCCGGGTGGGATATACTGGCCATGTTTGGTTTGGTAACATGACAACTTATAGTATTATGTGAATTAGCATGTATGGTATGTGAGGATTAGAGTTCTAAGGGAACTGTTGTATGCAGATACTATACAGATCCATCGGGCACATTTTGGCAATGCAATGGGAAAGCTATAGGCTCAGGCTCTGAAGGTGCTGACAGCTCTCTGCAGGAGCAATATAACAAGGTCTCATATAGTGTGTTAATTTTCTTTAGTATCTCCAACACCAATAATCCAAATGCTAGATAACTGACTGTGATTGCACCACATGTATATTTGCAGGACTTGACGCTAAAAGAAGCTGAAATAATTGCTCTTTCCATTTTGAAGCAAGTTATGGAAGAAAAGGTCAGTTTTCCTAATCTACGGAGGCTACTTTTCTTTTTTCCCCTTCTTTTGAGATCATGGCATGTATCATCTTTGGCCTAACTGGTCCATGGAGTTCATGCAAAGCTCCCCGTGGCAAACTAGACAAATTTAGGCCTCACTGATGATGTGTGTCATCGAAGGAAGTAATATCATATCATCTAGTGGGGATTTACAAACTGTCAAGTTAGTTTATGCTTATTGGAAAAGCACTCGTATATTATTAGCAGTTTTGCTTGTGCTGTATAGAAGCTACTACAACTTTTAGACGTTATAATTGTTCCCAAAGATGATGCCTGAAGAGTTTAGGTGCCAGTGGGATATATCTTAGCAAAGAAAGCTTAGAACTTGGACTTTTGTTCCTATAACTTTTAGAGGATATATCCAGCAGGTTTTTCTGGTATATCTGATAGAATTGTTTAATGAAATTCTAGTCTTGCTTATAATTGTCGCCATTTGTCGGATAGTGGAACAGATTGCATAAGCAGTTGAAGATTATCTGTATCATGCTTTGTTATGTGTAAAATTTTATGCAACAAGCAGTTTGTGAATGCAGCAATTTGATTCTGGTTTGTTAGCATCTTTACGGTTGGCTTGTTTTGAGTTCAGGTAACCCCCAATAATGTGGATATTGCGAAGGTTGCTCCTACTTATCACTTGTACACCCCGGCAGAAGTTGAAGCTGTCATCAGTCGCCTATGAAATGCGAATAAGTTGTAGACGGGCTTTGTTTGGTTTCCTTGAACATGTATTTTGTACTAAATTGCTTAGATATTATTCTGTTTCCGCGTCAAGTATGATATTTGAACACAAGATCCTATTTATGTTGACAAAATCATGGATTAAGTTTTTAAAAAATGTTTCTTTCTAAACAGCAAGTAGCACTGTTAATATCTGCCATGTGGAGGTGGAAATGACTTGATGGTTTGTTTTTGGTATGTGGTTATGTCCCACATAAATATTTTCCTACTTTACTTTTTCATGTGCAAGATGGCATGCAATGACATAATGTTAATGAATATATCTATATGTAGATATATTTGACCCTGAATCTTTACAAATGAGTCTATATCTATTCTTTTCTTACATTTTGAGCTTTAAAAATGTCATCTTTTGATAAAAACGAGCAAGAAATGTCACATGTTGAATTTAAGAGAGGGGGGTTTGTTTTTGAGTGAGAGTTTGTTTGTTAGCTGCTTAATTAGCTTAACTAGACACACGATGTTAGTTATACATGACTGTTTGGTAGTGATTTAATGATATAAAAAATGACTTGTTTAGTAAGCTTTTAGAGAGTTTTATACACACACAAAAAAAACCATGTTTTTTTGATTAAAAATTGTTCATTCCATCTATATGAAAAAAACCTGTGCGACTAACATTCATAAATTAATCTACACAAACAACTTTATCTATATAATGCTTGATGAAAACCAAGCAAACAACCTTTGAGTCATGTATGCTTGGAGTCCTTGCTTTAAGATCACCCACTTTCAAAGATTAATAGAGATACGAATGGAAACCTAAAACATGTTATTCGTCTATATATAAATAGACACGAAGCCTTACATCAAAAGGATTACGACCACTAAAAACTTTATTATTCAAAAGTTGTTCAATCTTTTTGCATCCATTTAGTCGCGAAATTCATCCATAAATTTCTTGTGGAAATCTGTCAATTTTGAAACTATGGCTGGGATCTTGTCCTCCTGAGGCAATATTGTGCACCTAAAATGCCAGCTTCCTGGGACCTGTCATAACATCCAATATAATGATGGATTTAGACCACCCTCCATTTGTATTAATAAACATATTTCTTCTATTGATATTGCTACTGATTCTTACCTGACCAAAACCTGAGCCAGGAACTACAACTACACCTGTCGCATTAAGGAGACGGATCGCATAATATGCATCTGCTGCTTTTTTAGCTCCTTCTGCCGCTTTTATAGCTTTATTCGGCAATCGAATGTTTGGAAAAAGGTACATTGCACCCTCTGCTCTATTGCAACTCACACCCTCTAAGCTGTTAAATGCATCTTCCAATGTCTATTGTAAAACAAACACAAGATCCAACTTATGATTGGTTCCAAACAAAGAAACAAATGCATTATACTATTATCAAATCTTGGTTTCTTGATTTGAACTAACCTTAGCACGTCTTGCCAGCGATTTCAAGATTCCATCTCTCTCGCCCATATAGCCATCATAGGATTCATCTCCGACCTGAATACAGGATCATGTTGATGCACATATCCATCAAAGCCACCTATATGTATATATTTACATAGAGAGGGAGCAACCTTTGGAGGACTCATGACAAGACTTGCAAGAATTTGGCCAGAAATATTCGAACAAAGATTCACCGATGCCACCTTGTAAAACTGCTGCCGAACCTCAGGACTAAAACCAGTTACCTCCATATAGCCACCTCTTTTTCCACACTCACCATGATACCCTGAAGCAACACATAAGTAGAAGATTCTTTGTTTACTTCTAGTACAACAATCTGTATTTGTTTATCCAAACAACATACCCTTAGACACGGATTGAAAAGAAACCAAGGGGATATCCTTGTCGCCATATCCCATGGAACGGCAGATTTTCTTGAACGAGTGAAATTTCTTGTCAGGAGCATAAATATTCTCTTGGTATACCTGAAAAAGTTTCGTGATTGTTGACGTCAGATGGTCTAAAATATGCCCACTATTAAGATGAAATGGGTTCATGAAAATCAAGAAATCTTGAAGAAATTCTTTACCTCATCTGCCAAAAGAACCAAACCTTCTTTCTTGCAGAAGTCCACAATTTGTCTTTGGTTGTCCTCAGCAAGAACCTATATAGTATCAACAAGAGTGAATATAGTAATTGATTGAAGCCTGAAAGGCACCAATGATTGCGTTAAAGAACAACATGGCTTAATATGATGAGAATCTATATGCATTTACCTGGCCTGTTGGGTTTCCTGGATTAATTGCAACCAAGGCCCTAACAGTAATACCCTTTTGCTTGGCAGCGTCCAACTGCTTTTTGAGTTCAGAGATCTCCAATCCCCACCCAGTTGCTTCGTCAAGATAATAACGAACCTGCAAAATCAGCAAGTGTTATTCTACTATATTTCTTTTTAACACTAAAAATGTCAATTTTGAATGCAGGTGTCATCTGCCATATGTTATTTGTAGGATTTAGTTTCAGGTGAACAAAATACATACAAGAGTGCCACCATGAAGGGCAATGGAAGCAGAGTAGAGAGGGTACTGAGGAATGGGACACAAAATTCCATCGTTCTCTGATCTTATTAGTAACTGCATCATCATATGGACCTGGCACCGGAAGATTATAAAGTTGATCAATTTGGCTTTCACGGATAGTTTTCTACAACAAACAGAAAAAACCAGATTTTACCCCTGGACTTGCACCGTCTGTGAGGAAGAGATCATTTGGATCAGCGGGAAAACCATCACGAGCTTCAATACCAGCAGCAATGGTATCCCGCAATCCTTTAATACCCTGACTGTGACTATATGCACCCGTAGCTCTTCCAGGTATTTGATCCAAGATCAAAGATGCTCGCTTTATGGAATCCACACTGGAACAAGTCAATAGTATAAGTAAGGCACACAAGATCCCATAATTCACAGTAAAAGTTTAGGCATCATGGTCTAGAATAAGTTCCCAAACCCAAATCTGTATCTTGATTGCTTAGCGAAAACAAAAACAAACACAAATACTAGATAAATAAATCCATACCTAAACAAACCCATTGTTTCCCTCTTGTCCAATAAGGCAGGATGGTCACATAATGCAAGAACCTGACATAACATAACACACATGAGTGGAAACAATAACTTCTCATCACAGTGAAGTTGCAGCATTCCAACCTCTCTGAAGAAAGTTATCGGCTTTTGACCAAGGTGTTGTGGATTTCCAATATTACAGTAAAGTATCTGCCAAATTTGAGAGGAAATCCATCAGTGAAGAAGAAATCATATTTTATGTATTCCCAAAAGTTTCTGCCATAGTTACATAGTTGGGCAGAACAAAAATATGCCATTACAGGTGAAGCCAACAGAAGGCATGCTCCTTCATCTCATCTCAAGTGTATAAATATTTGAACTCTATATTCAAGCATAGAATTCCTATTAATTTTTTAATGCAACCATAGAAACATCATACATAGAAGTGATACCTCCTCAAAAGGATGTGAACCTGGATTTGCTTGCAAGTCTTCTTGTAATTTCTGTGATACAGTAGCACTGAAGCATCAGAACATTTGCATAGCAGTGAAGTCAAAATCATAACAAATTGAAGTCCCTTTATATCAATATGTTCATTAACAATAATTATATTGAGAATATGTGCTTAGCATGCATAAGTAATTTGGTTCTTAGCCAACACAATCTGTAGTATACCTCAGCCACAGAGACAATTTCACCACGAACAGCATATTCACATTTCAATACCTGCAAACAAAGGGGAATATGAGCACAAACATAATTCATCTATCATGTAATAAGTTGGAGTATACTGCTTTAGGAGTAGGAATTAGTTTTGGATTTCACATAGACTAACCATTTCGATCATGTTCTTGCACAATATATTTATAGACTTACTAGTATGTAAATCTGAAAAAGTCTCAAAGTCTTTAAACAGTTTGATCACAAGACAAGACAAAAAATGAAGCATATGCCCGCATCAATAAATAAACCCGGCCAGAAAAGAAAACTAAAAGAGAAAACAAATGAAAATCCTACATGATAGCAACGGTGGGTAAGCGAATCATACAAAACTGACACCAAATGAGGAAGAAAGAGAACCTTAGGGTTAAGGGATTCAACAGTAACAGGGGGTGTTGAAGCCATGATGGAATAAGAAGAAATGGGTGAATAGAGTGATGGAGGGAGATGTGATCTATTAGAGCAGTAATTTGGAGAAGAAGGCCTGTGATGAGGATTCAATTTCACCACAGAAGCAATGGTGTTGTTGGCGATCAATGTCTTTGCTGTTTCGCCTACGAATTTCCGCATTTGGAGAGACTCAAACTCAGAGAATCGCAACCACCAAGAGCGCCATGCATGCATTCCTTCAAAAACCCAATTCAAACTCAGATCATTCTAATTTCTACCCTCGGTCTATCTTTTATTTAACACAACATCCCCTTCTACAACACTTTACTTGCAGTTGCTCCCAAGCATATATTGGAAAAACTTATTTACAAAAAGGTCGTGTTTGTTTGGAATACATATATTTCTATTTGGCATGCTTTCCGTTTATATTGTTCAATAAAAAAAGTAACAAAAGAAAAAAGGGATCAAATGTAGAAATTTAAAAAGAATAGGGTAGTGATTTGTAAGATATAGAGAAGTTGAAGGGCAGATAATGACGAAAAGCATATGGTTGGGCTTGGTCAGCGAGTGCGAGTTAGGTACTCGATTCCGTTACAACCTTCCAGTTTAAGCGCCAATCTTTTTTGTTGGTTTCCTATTCTTAGCATACACACATATATATATATATATATATATATTAATATTATGGAGAGCTCCAGCTCCAGCTCCAGCTCCAGCTAGGTAGGTAGGTAGGGTTAAATGGTTCATTTGTTCTACGAACATAATACTTTTTCCTATATATAAATAAATGCAAGTGTTTGTTGGTAAATCACAAGATTACAATACAACATGATGGTCATGAGATGGAGGGATTGTTCTGATCAACAATTAACACTATCAACATCAATCCATATATCAAGTGGAGTCAAACATCACATTTCTTTCAGGTAACCACGTTCCGCCATCGATCAAAGACTTCACGGTGAACTCAGCTGCCTCAGCACCGCTTAATCTCGGCTTATAACCACCCCATTCCACCCGTTTCTCCACCGCCGAGCCTGGGCCGCTGTTCATGTACTCGGCGTAGAATATAGATGAAGGTGGTTCCACACCCTTATCCCACTCTGCCCACCCCAATGGATGCAAGAATCCTCCAATACTCGACTGCATGATCACCGTCGTTGAGTAATCCTTCCATGGCCGCCCAAGGTACGTCGGAGCTGTCAGATTGTCCAGTGGGGTTATATCACATTTCTGGATGGAAATTCCTGACTTCTCATTTGGGTCTTTCTTTCCTTGAGCCGTAATGGTGACAAATTGGTTCGGCAATGGCTGCCGCGGCATAATCTTGCAGTTCTGCAATACCACGGCGGAGTTCCCAAAGATGAAATCCACCGTGCCGGTCACTCTACAATCCCGGTAAAACTGACGGTTGCTATGAGGATAAAGGGTGTCCTGGAAGGCATCGAATGAACATCTGTAGAAAACGGAAAGATCTGAACTCGACCTCATCGCCACCGCCTGTTCTTTCGCTGCACCGGCGGTGTTCTTGAAACCCATGTCCATTGCCATGAACCCTTTTCCAGATACACCTGTTCATCATTCGTATGATTGTTAGTAAAGCATAAAGGAGGTTGTTAATTAATTGATATCATGATCTGAAAGATTATATATATATATATATATATATATATATACCCAAGGTGGCGGTGTCGAAAGTTGCGACGCCGTCGATTTTATTTAAGCTGCCGGAAACAATGGATTTATCCATGCCGTCGCCGTATACCATGACGTTCCAGAATGACTTGTCCAAAACAACATTCTCCAAATACTCTCCTTCTTTGATGTATATAACGAATCGATTCTTGCTCTTCTTTGGGACCATTGCCATGGCGTCGTTAATCGTTGAAACATCTCCACTCCCGTCCTTAGCCACCGTCACGTTTGGTGTAGGCCTTTCTTCTTGAAGCAACCTCCGGTCACCGGCTCCGACCCATCTTGGAAATCCCAACAACTTCCTATGAATTGGGATATTTAGATTCTCCAGAATCCCCAAAATTTTAGAAACTATCGCCAGACTGTTGCTTGTGTACTCGTTTGAATTCTGCATTTTGGACTTGATTTGTACAAGAAATGTTGAACCCATTTCTTGGAGAGTATCCAAACAAGTCTCTTGGTTGGTCAAGGCGGCGCTCAGCCATGTCCTCAAGTCGTCGATTTTGTGTGCTGATAAGACATTCTCACCGGACTTTACATCCATGGAAGACATGGAGTCATGGAGATTATCAACGGCGTCGCTTAACACAGTCCGGCAAACCTCCAACGCTTGCTTGTCATTCTGGTTGTCAGTTGTGTTCATCAAAGTCTCGGGCAAGGAAGACAAGGCGGAGAGGGAATCCAAAGCGACCTGTAAAGAGAGTTTGAACAGCTGTTCAGGATCGGTGGTGTTGGATTTATGATCCATGGCGGAGATGGTGGAGTAACAGGAATCTGGATACAGAGTCTGGGTACAAACAGCGTTGATGGATTGGGCGGAGGAAAGCTGAGACGAAGGGGGTTGTTGAGGGGAGTTATTGTGATTGGTGCGTTTGTGAAGAACAGTTCCGGCAACGGCTCCGATGATAAGAGCAAGGAGGAGGAGAGTTGAGACAAGAATGATGAGGAAGCGCTTACGAGCCTTGCGACGGAAATCCTGTTCTTCAGCAAGATCGGACTTGCCATAACCTTTGTAAGACTCCATCCAATTCACCTGCAAATTCTCTCTCTCTCTCTCTCTCTCTGTATGTGTATATATATATATATATATATATATGTTATGTTTTGATTAGTTGCAATGTTAACATCATTTGGCAATGAATCCCATGCAGATGGAAATCCGGCAGATTAGAATAATGTTGTTGACATGTTCATACCCACCACCCAAATGGCCAAATGCAAGCAAACGCTACCTTTTGTTAATTTAACTTGTATTTACTCCTTTTTCCTAAAACCCAATCATCTTATCTTATGTTTTAACTACTCTAAATTGTTGTCTATATAATTATAATTATAATTATAATTATAATTATAATTATAATATGGATCAACGATATGACACACACTTGTATACTCTAACCTTTCATATTTATTTTTTGGTTGCATATATGTAACCGTCATAATTAAGTCACCTTGTTTCTTCATGTTGTAACATCTTAATACTCGATATATTTTGATATGATAGGTAAAGTATATTATACATGAATAACACTTTTGTACAATTAACGTTATACATTATACGTGAAGATATGGTGACTCTCACCATACTCTATGAAAATTGAGATTTAACGAGAAGTTATGTTTGTTCATGTATGCAAATGTGACATAGTTGATATTCATAACAATGTGCGTAAAGCTAAATGTCTTCCAATGATATGTTGCATGCAAGTTTTTGTAGCCTATCCTATGTGTTGAATGCCAAGTTTAATATTATACCGCATCAAAACCATATACTCATTGTTGTCTCAAATTTTCATATTTTGTCATTTCCACCAATCATACGATTACACTTATTGAGAGAGAAAGTGAACATAAATTAATTAGATTTAAAATAAATAAAAATCTGATATGTATTAATTTCATTGATGGGAGATACATAACCGGAACGCTTTGAAGCCCAGTCACTTCTGGGTCAGGCCCATGGAATGAATGTTATCAGAAGCACGATCCAAACCATAAAAATGGCCCAATATTTCACCACCCTCACCCTGTTATAAAACTTATTATTTGTAAATTGTAATTGTGGGGAAAAAAACGATTAAGTTTTCAATTTTAATTTTGAATAATTTAAAATTAGAAAATTCATGAGGTTTTCAAACTTTTCCCTTATTTCTTATCTGTGTTGTGTTGTAATCACCTTTAGCATCAACATTTTCGGCTAAATTAACTTTTCGTAAAAAGAAGTACGTGTTACAATAAAGAGAATTGAATGTGTGATTTGTCATTATAATAGGTAAATGTGACTGTAGCATAAAATGTGCAAGAGTCGATACACGAGATAATTTTATTGATTAACAATAACTTTCTATTAATCACATATAAAAATCCTAAATTAACTGGGAATAAAATAATCCAAGAAACAAGTGAATACAATCTGTTAGGGCCGACCCGACATTTGACTCTAAGCTGTGGAAGAAGTCACGCAAGCGACTGTGTCCCAGCTTTTGATATGGGTTTTTTGGGTTTCCTTCAAGCTTATTTTCGTCTCTTTCAAAGATCTATGAAAAACCCTCCGATCTACCCTACGTTCAAATTAAAATAATAATCATTTATACAAGTTCAATACTTGTATCATGATGGTTAAAGTAGACATAGTAATGATAATTAACTATAAAATGCTTAATTATTACATATATATATAATAATATTTGTGTCCCTTTTCCCCTATAAAAAGTGAGAAGAAATGATACAAATTGGGATAGTGACGTGTATATGTAATAGTGTCGGTGTCAAAAATCACAAAAAGCTTTGATTCAATGAAAAAGAGGAACCACAATAATTCCACCAACAATCAACTTGGAAAATCTCATCCATCCTTGTACAACTTCAGATGCCGTCAAAGTCCGTATAACCATAAGAGGTTACCGGCGATAACTCCCATTCGGTTGGCAATGAATCAATTAGCGCAAACCGGCTTAAAAACTCATGGTTACCCAAAAAAAAGAAAAGACAATCAAATGTGGAGCATAATCTTATATATATTAAAGAAGAAACCACGTCCAGTGACGTGGCCTCTCCTAAGGCCTGAAAACTGATTTCTCTGCTCTCTCCTTTTCTCAAGCTTATTAGTTAATATTTACTTAAAACCTTTCAATATTCACCGGTCCGTTTCCGTTTCCGTTTCGTCTCCATTTCCTTTTCCCTCCACCCTCTCCTTCAAGATAGGGTTTTTGTTATCTCCCCATATTCTCTCCATCTTTTTCTGGTTTTGATTTCAGTTTCAATTTCAATTTCAGACAAACCCTTCATATCTTTCATCGACGATTAAACCTAATTTCTTCTTCAATCTGTAGCCTGRTTTTATTGATACGTGCATTGAATGCYGATAGGCATCCATTGATACCCCATAACCATTTGGTAGTTTTCTTCTTCATGTTGTTAAGTTCCTTCCTTCAATGGGCGTTGATAATGGCGGCCATTAAGATTATGATTTGGCCTCATGTTTTGCACTCTTCCTATTTCCAATTATTTCTCCTGATTATATGTTGATTGTTGATTATTTGTTGGTTTTTCARATCGGATTCTTTGGGGCTCCGGAATACRTGATTAGTTGCTCATTTTCTATTGAATTTATCAAGTATTCTGCAAAGGTACGATGATCTCCATTGTTAAACATAAGTGTTCCTTTTCTATTTCTATGAAAAATTGTGCAGCTTCTGTATCTGTACTGAGTTGACTCATTTGTATATGTCTATAGACACTAAATTCAAGTGCAAAATCATGGCTGAATTCATGTGCTGAATTCAATCCTTCATTTGTTTGAGATGGAATTAATGTCTGTATTTCGTTTATCCGGGTATGGCCAGAAGTGGGTTTCTTCTCCGCCAGTTCCGCCATCACCACCACCACTTTCGTTGATCCGAGAATGGTCGGAAGTGGGTTTCTTCTCCGCCATAGTTGTCATGGTTCCCGCCTATCGACACATCAATTCCTAAACCCTAGCTTTCTCTGGCTTTCTTTCTCTCTTTTTCTTCCCCCTTTTTGTTACTTCTGGTAAGTAATTAAAGAAAAGAATACATATTTTTCCCTTCAATTTTGTAATGCGACTATGGTTAATCACTGTTTTAATCGGAAGGCATCTGGATGGTGATTTTTCTTTGATTTTTTTTTCGTTATTGAATTTGATTCAGGAAAGAAAAAGATTGGGTCTTTTTGAGGGTTTGAATACATGTCCTTCAATCAACCAAGGGGTGATAAGAATGAGCCGTCACATCACAGAAAATTGGGTCGATCTGGTAACGCTGCCTTGCAAAGGAACTACTCCGGGGGTGGCGGGAAGGGCGGCGGCGGAGGAGGTAGTACCACCGCCCCACCATCCTCCTCTTCATCTTCTTCTAATATGGTTAGATTATGTAATGATTTCGAATAATTTTTCTTCATTTTGCTTTGGATTTGTAATTGTTTCGTGTTAGTATTTTTCAAATTGATATGCAATTTGTAGAGAAAAACATGGAAGATTAAAGTGATTGAGAACTGTACCGAGAACTACTAAATAACTGGAAGCCTAAAATCGTCTTCTCTGGTTCCATCTTCTTCACCTTTTTAGAGCTTTTTACTTGCAGATCAACATCGTTCCCGGTGTCCCCTCATCATTCAATCAGCTAATTTTCTGATTCGTGATTATGGATCGTTAATGCTTCGCCAAATTCATAATCAAACATTCAAACGTTTRATTCAGTTRWACTAATCGTTCCTGTCTTTTCTAAATGTTGTTTATGACATTCTTGCGCTTTTGATCGTGTTGTATTTGGTAATTTAAGTATGTATCCGCTTTTGGTTGTGTTATTTGCTAATCATCTTTGTTTCTCTTCCCTGTATATATTATATGATATTTCGTGTATTAATGCACTTGTGGATACATTGTTACTACTTTATATGCGTAATCCTTATTACTGAATGAAATGAAAAGTTGTTGTCTTCAAGAATGTTGTGATGATTTTAACTCTGCATTACTTCTCCATGTGATGAATTTTTGAAAACATCACATCTTTATTTTGCTTCAGACACTAATTTACACCCGAAATTCTGAACTGATAATGTTTTCATATTTTGGTTTCTATACTTCTCCAGGGTACTCTTTAATCTATTTCAGCTTTATAATGTTTAGTCATGTAGTAGAAGCTATGGACATACTCCTTTGTTTATTACATGTGCACAGCTAACTGCGATGTGAGAACAGGGTATATTTAGATTTTAACCACTTGATAATATCTGTAACAGGTTTTCAGGTCACGARACTACAATGCGGTTCTTTACTGTCTTAGACAGGTATTGGATCTTTTTCTTAATTGTAATATGTTCTTCTTAGTGCACCCTATATTTAATGGTGTTTTTGATCGTGGAATCTGTTGGCAGTTATTTGAAAAGGTTGAGGTGGACATATTTGTGTAAAATATGATAYCACWGTTATAMCTTGTGTGATTGTGTAATTGCTTATTTCACAATGAAGATAAGAGATTCTTCAACTCATAAAGTAAACAATCCCTGCTTTTTGTTCTGGGTCGATATTATTAACCTAATATTTAAAGAAATTTGGCAAAACATTTGTGTTTTCTGCTCTGGAAGCGAATGGTTGACCATTTTCTTTTATTAGAATATGATTATCTATGCTATTTTTGTATCAGMTTTTTAATAAATATATATGATTTATATGTGTTTTCTATAATTGGCAGGTTCTAAAAGCTAAGCTGGGGGTAACCCAATGGGATATATARGTGTTCATGGCATTAATGCACTACACAGATACAAGTACAGTGGAGTTGATCACTCTTATCTTGCAAAATATGTGCTACAACCATTTTGGAGTCGTTTTGTTACTTTCTTCCCTCTTTGGATGCCGTAAGTATTGTTCAAATAAACATATTATTTAGCATGCTTGTGTGCTAATACAAATCTATGCGTGTGTGCTGATACATATGTGAAGTAATTTATGAAGTACTTGCGAAGTGAAGAAGATCCGTAAGCGAAAAATCTGAGTTCAAGATTTCTATCGATCGAACCGACCAAAAACACATATGTGTGAATAGATATAGATAGATATGGAGGAAGGGGATGGCTTTTATGGCGGTTTTGGAGTCAGATCTACGCGCGCTCTCCGCCGAAGCAAGCCGTYGGTACCCGGCCATCAAAGACGGAGCTGAACACGCAATCTTGAAGGTTAATTTTACTTAAAAAATGAATTTATGTTATCTTCTTTCCTTACGTTGCGACATTTCTGCTCGATTGATTTCATTTTTGCCCACTTTCGTTGATCCGAGTATGGCCGGAAGTGGGTTTCTTCTCCAAAAGCCCTTAACACGTCCTTGCGGTGATGAGGTGGAATATGGATTGGTGCATTTGTGTCGATTCATGGAGTTTGCTTCAATGGGTATATATATATATATATATATATATATATATATATATATATATATATATATATATATATATATATATATATATATATATATATATATATATATATATATATATATATATATATATATATATATATATATATATATATATATATATATATATATATATATATATATATATATATATATATATATATATATATATATATATATATATATATATATAGAGAGGTTGGTTATTATACAACCTTTGTCATTTGTGCAACCAATACAACTCAATCTCAACCGTCTATTTCATTTGATTAATATGTGATTTTATAGAGGTTTTGATTATTTCCTAATATAAAGTATTAATCATAATTAATGAACCGTATTCATATTCCATAAATATTTAAATCATAATAAATGAACTCTAATCATTTCCATAAATATTTTAATTTATTGGGTTGCATTGGTTGTACAAATGCGATAGGTTGTATTTGAAATAAACCCTATATATATATATATATAATTTATTTAACTTTTCGAATTATTTGAATACTATTTGTTGATGATTTTATTAACAACTAATATATATTTATATAGACAATATCCAAATCATTAATCAAAGTACTCATGCTACCGTGCAACGCACGGTTTCCATACTAGTATAATATAATTTAATTCAACATAGCTACAAAGCTTGACTACTTACAATAATCTAAGCAAGAATCAGACAACGATAGTTACTCCATTTATGATGATAAAATTACAAGGATTTAGCAGCACAAGATGCTCCTTAAGACCATCATTATTAATTTAGACACATACAACGTTCTTAATTACTTACAAACCTAGAGAAAATGGAAAACCAGTTCCTCTTAACCAACTTCCCCCACCAATGAAGCTTCCTGGGGTGAAGCCTTGAGCCTCTGAGGAACTCGTAATCACCTTGAACCCTCTCCATTTGACTCTGCCGGAAGTCCCTGCCCCCGCCCCCGTGTTTTGGTACTCACCATAGTACAACGTGTTGAGGGCAAAGTTGCCACTCCACTCGTACCATCCGGCAGGGTTAATGACATTGGTGATGGTCGATTGCATCACCACCGTTCTTGAATACTCTTTCCAGGGTCGTCCTAGATATGTTGGAAAACTCCCTTGCACCGGTTGGAGATCAGAAGTGGCACCAATCCTGCATTTTTGAATCACAATCCCTGTGTTTTGATTAGGGTCGGTGCGGCCTTGGGCTGTCAGCATGTTCCTTTGACCGGAATTGGGGCGACGGGCGTGGATGTCACAATCTTGGAAGACGGCGGCCGCGTTGCCGAAGATGAAGTCGACCGTGCCAGCAACCAAGCAGTTAATGTAGAATTGACGGTTACGGTGGACATAAAGGGTGTCTTGGTAAGCCAACATGTCACACTGATAAAATGCTGATAAATCTGAGCCTACACGAAGTGCAACTGCTTGGTGATTTGATGCGCCGGCCGTGTTTTGAAATGTGATATCGCGTGCCAAGAACCCATCACCTACAATGGCTACAACAACAAAATAATTAAGATGTTAGTTTTGTCGAATAATTTGTTGTTTCTATTTTTGTTTAATAAAAATACTTTTCTATTCAATAATTGAAGTCCTTGTATCATTGCGCTCCCATCACCTTTCATCCAAATTCTGTCGTTTTATGATTTTAATTCTTAACATTTGTCTTTAAATCATTATTATTATATTATGATTAATAGAGTTGAGCAATACATATTTGGTTTCTATGGTTTGTGAAATATAGCACTTTCTGTATTTGTAGTTTCGAAATTACAACATAGCCATCGTCGTATTTTGTAAAAACGTCTCGATCTAGTCCCTCATTTTAACGGTCGTTAAATAAGGAAGATCTTTTTTTTTTTGTGTTTTAACCCAATCAAAAACCATAAAATCTATTTTGATTGGGTGAAAAACAAAAGAAATGGATTAAATTTACCCTTCATTAAATGAATTTACATGAGTTTTTACAAATCACAATGGCCTTATTTTAATTTTGAAACCGTTAAAAAAGTGTTATTTTAGAGGACCAACTTTGCAGTTTACTCTAAAGTGCAAAAAGATATGTATGACTGTTAGACAATCGATCGATCCGAAAACACACAGCTAGATTTTCTTCCCTATCAGTATCAGTTCAAATGTTGGTTGAAATAAATGTACAACTGAAAGCATTTTTTTTTTATTTTACGGAAAATGTCGTAAGAAATACTTTTTTAATCAAACCTTTCCGGATGAACCCTGCGGTGATGGAGTCGCTAACTTTTGTCAAAGCAAAAGAAATAACACCAGAGATAAAGAGAACTAACCGACGGTAGCGGATTCGAAGGTGGTGCTCCCCCCTTTTACGCTCCGGCTTCCGGTGATGATTGTGTTTTTTCTTCCATCTCCCATGAACATGATGTTCGTTTTCGCCTTCGGAACCTCCACATTTTCCCGGTACACCCCCGCCTTGATCCTAATCACGAACCTTGAGCTGCTCTTTGACGGTGCTGCAGCCACCGCTGCCGCCACCGTCCTATGGTCACCACTACCATCTGCAGCCACCACCACGTTTGGCCTCACCGTCCCTGACTGCAACAACTTCCTGTCTCCAGTCGATAACCACTCCGGCCATACAGACTCCTCCTCCTTCAGGTTCCTCCCATTCAGCCGACTCTCGGCGGCCATGTCTGTATCGGTCATGTTACAAATCATGGCCAATGCATTGCTGCACATCTTCTCCACCCTCGTCTCGCCTTTTTCAAGCTCTTTCCGGACTTTCTTATCGGCTTCATCGTGAGAAAACCCATCGAGACAGGTTTCCTGGTTGGTGATGGCGGCGCTCATTAGCGTTTTGAGGTCGTCGGCATGCTGCCGAAGAGATTTCTTGGTTCGATAGGTTTCGAGGTCTTGAATGACCTCATGGAGCTCCTCCAATGTCTCGGTCACCATCTCCAGACAGTCCTTGAGTGCCTTGATCTCGCGTGGCGTGAGATTTTTGCGAGTGGTGAGTTTTTTGATGTGGTCGGAGCTTTTTTGGACGGCGGTTGCTGTGATATTGACAGCAAGCTCGATGACGTCTTTTTGAGTTTTGACTTTTTTGTTCAAGTCGGGGTGGGTGGTGATGGTGGAATAGCATAGGTCTGGATATAATGTGGAGCTGCATGATGATTTAACGACGGCGTGAGCGGCGGAAGCGGTGATGGTTAGAGGGGTGGAGTGGTGGGAGGTGGAGTTTGGGGATTTATGGAGGCCGACGACAAGGCCGATGAAAGCGGAGGCAAGTAAGATGGAAGCAAAAGCAGTTAAGAAGATTTTTTTTCTTTTGGTAGCGAAGAAATCCTTGAAGTTGATGGTGGTCATGGTGTGTGAAAGGCAAGGCCAAGTGTGGTGGAGGTGGAGGTGGAGGTGGAGGTGGAGGTGAAGAGGAGAGTCCAATGGATATGTCCTTTTATCAGCGAATTACCCATTTTTTATATATGAAAAAAAAAACCCAAATTAATTAATAATGAGGCGGTTTGATTTTTTATTTAGAAAATTTGTTTGGTATTGTAATATAAATAGGTTAAAATTTGGTTGGCTGATTCTATATATACCAACTTGTAATGGAGTGGTCCAACTCTAAAAATAGGGAACATAATCCTTTCCAACTTTTAACTTACAATACAACTTTTTAAAAAAGATTAGACTCGACTTGAATAAATAGTAATGATAATATAAATATGGATTGTATTATTAGATGAATATTAATAATTGAAATCTGGGTCAACATTCAAGATTTATTTAACAGAGGATTTATTAATGAGGCAGCCAAGGAGACAAATTTGGCTCTAATCAATTTATAATTTGAATTGTTTAAGTAGCAAATAGCAATAAAGGCAAAGAATTCAAATTGAGGTGGGGCTCCCATTTATCTCTTTGCCTCTTCTTCCATGTGCTTTTTAGGTGAAGCTTTTCAAACTAGGAACTTCATTGATTAACTACAACATTGGTCCCTCAACTCTTTCTATTTTGTTACAAAAGGCATGAATATACATGACAATTGAAGGTTCGTTCGTGATACACATTGGGTACTTTTAAATTTAATTACATTAAAATAAATAATTTGGTAAATGATTGTGACTATAAGTGGATGATTATATACCAAACAATAAATATTCCAACGAGCCAATCACTCCACCAAAATCAAATTAATATCTTCTTTATTACATCACCAAACTTTATCTATCCTATCCTATAATTCTTTGAACCAAATTTCATACTTATGATTGTTTTAAACAAATTAATGAGCCCTTTTTCTTTTATTTTTCATATTCTTCTACATTTTCCTTGTTCTAAGTTATTCTTAAATATATATAAAATGAAAAACTTCAAAACTTACGAGTCATTCTAGTCACAAATGTCGCCACAACAATGACAATGACTCAAAAGATTGTGCCACGATTTTGTTGTCAAAACGGTGAAATCAATTTTATCTTCCAACTTATTAGACTTGATTTCAAAACCGGTGTGATTTTTTTAAAGTTTTTGACAATGGCCCCTCCAAACATCATCTATTCACTTATTGAGTCCTTATTTTACCCTTCCAAGTGCATTCCATATTTCCAATAACTTGTTTTTTCTGTATAGGTTTTTCCCTTTTGTTTTTGGGTAGTAATACTCATTTTTCGGATTATTTAAAGTTTTTTCAAGGCGAAACTCGAACTAGTTGTTGTTTGACTTAGCTCATTTCAACCCCTGGGTTAGAAGGTTTGTGTTCCGCCTCTGCCTTTATCTTTTTCAACATCTCTTCCACCTATATGTTGTAAAACAATACATGTAAAATAATCAAATCACTAATCATGTGTTGTTTTACATTGTAAAACAATACATGTGAAAATATAATTTTGTTTTATAATGTATTAAAAATAATCAAGTTATGACACATCATTGCATTTTTCATATGTATTATTTTGCAAATGAAAATAAGACACGGTTATACGTTTCACAAGTTTTTAATTCTTTTGAAAATAATATATTTTTTCATATGCATTATTTTACTACTTTGTTCTTTTTCCACGTCGTGTAAAAATACGAGTTAAAATGAGAAGGATAAGAAGAAATATGGATTCTTGGTCACTTTTAATCTCACTCATATCCCATGAATTGTGGTAATTGTTCAAATGCATCTTATCAGAGTTGATCTTCAATTAGAATTTATCTAAAGATGAATATTTTTTTCTTACTTTTTTTATCATAACTTCTATTTTTATCAATATATATATATGTGTGTGTTTTTTTTTTTAGTGAGATGTTGTTTGAAAATGTAGAGTTATAAAAAAAATTCAAAAGATTAATAAGATAGGATATACAAAAGTGAAGCTATTTGAGTGGCTCGCAGGTGAGGGTAAAATTGGCAACACACATTCGCATTGTCATCTCAAAGCCAAATCGACCGTAGGGTTGCCCCAACATCTGACACTCCCACCAAAACCCTCCACCTCTGCTCATAAATCTACCTTCCCATTTCTTTTTTAATTAATTAAAATAACTATTTTTTATTTATAATTTCTTTTTTTAATCATTTCTTTTTTAAAATCATCAAAATGTTACTTTATCTGTAAATGACAAGTTTATTAATTTATGGAGGGGTCAAAGGATAAAAGACGAAGTTTTTGAATCAGGTCCGTAAATACATGAACCAAAATCTATAAAATAGATATAGGCCTGCAACAGATTTGGTCCATGAACTTGCGACATGAACTCTTTTTACACTTTGGTCCCTCGTAAATTGCAGACTTGCCACTTACGGGATAGTGATATCTTAGTGATTGTAGAAGAGAAATAGTTTAAAAAATGAAACAAACAACAAAAAATGACTATTTTAATTTTAAAAAAATCAAGTGAATGTACTCGTAACTGAATTAATTTCATGAAGTTCTAAAAATAATGATATTTTTTTTATAATAGATTGAAAAAACTCGAACTAACGACTTATAAAAAGTAAACCTAAAACATATCTTTTATTTATCAGTTGAGTTAGTCATATGTACTAATTGATCTGAAAACATATGGTTAATAAATATATATATATATATATATATATATATAATAACTGAAATTTAAGTTTAGCTTATATTGTATTAATAAAATAATATGTTATTTTGCATAAAACTTAAGGCATATCATATGCATTAGACAAACGTAACATTTAGTTTAAGACTTACTTTTTAATCGATATGTACTCTTTTACATCATTTTAAAAGTAAATTAACCAATATTGGCAATATATGTTTATATTGTATTCAAAAAGAAGTTACAATTATCTTGAATTTTTAGGAGGTACAAACAATTAAAGATATTGTATAAGCTTTTAAACCTTACAACCTTCCACGATCTTCCATCAAATTATTTTCAATTTCAAAAATACAATACTCTTATAATTAGTAATTCGATTACTTTATATTCCTTATTTTTTTCATTTTTCATTTTACACCATTATCATTTTAACATAATAGTCGTATATGAACTTAAATACATTTGAAAATTACGTTTTTTTTACAAATTATATCATTATAATCGTTCTGTCAATACATTCAAATTGAGCCAATATTGAATATTCTTGTATTAGTAATACTATTAAATATCATGAACACCTACGAGTTAATTTGTTTTATATCCATATATTTTCATTTTTCATTTACACCTTTATCATATTAAAAATGTATAATCATATATTAACTAAAATACATTAAAATGTGTTTTCTTTATTTAATACACATGCATTATACCATTAAGTATTCATAATTGGTTATAAAACCATCACATACTACTAGAAAAATTGCTCTCATAAATGTAGGAGTGAAAGGCCTCATCGTTATCGTCTTGAAATACATGCCTGAAGTCACACAAATAAGGAAGAAGGATAATTCAAGGATTATTATGTCTTTCCACAATTATGGTCCTATTTTGATTAAAGCAAGCAGTATTGATAGCTTCATCCCAAAAGTAGGTCGAAAAACTTGCTTCACTTAGTATAGAACGTACATTTTCATATAGGGTATGATTTTTCCTCTTAACAACTCCATTTTGCTGTGGAATCCAAACAGCTGGGAAATTTTGAGAAATACCTTTGTCATCAAAGAAGCTTTCAAGAACAATGTTTTTTAAATTCAACGTCGTTGTCACTTTGAATTGATTTGACAAGTTGACCATTCAAAACTTCCAAGAGTTGATAATTTATTTGGTTGGATCACTCTTATGTTGAAGAAAGAAAACCTAAGTAGATCTTGAGTACTCATCTACAATAACAAGAGTATAACGTTTTCCACCTGAACTTTGAACGCTCACAGGACTACAGAGATCCATGTGAAACTATGTGTCATTCAATTGTGGATGCTTATTTTGGGATTGGGATTTGGGGTATTTTGTTTATCACAATAGATGTAGTTTTAGAGTATTTCTATTGAAACATAAAATTTGTATTTTATTTTTCAATTACAAATGGTAAAAACTAGGACAAACCACTAATGAATGCATAAGTTGATATTTAAGAGGCAAGAATAACAAATGTTTTGAATTTATGAATCATTTGATTTATGATTTAAAATGACAACAAAGTATAAAATTAGTATGAAATAAAAGAATATTATGGTTTTAGGTTGTGGGGTTCATAATGGAAATGATTTCAATTTATGGAAGATGATAGAGAAATAAGCTAGGAAGAGATAGATGGGTAGGTGTATGGTTAAACCTTTAAAGAGAGTTGACAAGTCAAAAGAGGTAACCACCACCAATTGATGCTTAAATCGTGCTATAAATGATAATAAATTTGTATGGAGAAATTAAAATCCAACAAGAAATTAAATAATATATCCAAAATATCTATATCTATATCTATATCTATATAGTACAACTCCATCATGACTTGTGTTTCTATATTACTAGAATCTTGAAGCCATAATTAGAAAAAAAATTGGGTCATGTTACTTACAAACCTAACCTAATAGTAACCATTGATTTATTTTGTTTATTTTAAAGACGGTTATAAAATAAGAATGAATGTAAATTTAGAATAATAAATAATAAATAATAAATATATGGTTGAGGTATATGATTGTGTGTGCAATGGATGTCCTATCCTATGTTTTTATTCCAACAATAATATTATATATCAAATAACATGAAAAGAGGTTATATTAAAAATGAAAATAAAATAAACAGAAAAGTGGAGAAGCGGGAGTCAGTTCCATTGTCATCATATTTTAACCATAATTTGTTTTTACACTCTAATCTTTTGTTTTTGTAACATGGAAATTATATTATTCTCTGTTTTTCTTTCATATATATATAGTAATAAAGCTTGTATCCAAACAGTTATATATTATTTATTTATAAAAATTCAGAAACACTAACTATATTTTATA